CATCAATTATAGAAAGAACGTCTTTTCTCCATTTTCCCACTGTGCTTTCTTCTAAGTTACCATCTGAACTTCCAACGCCTGAATAATCAAATCTGGAACAACAAAAAAAGAAAGGTAGCACATTCCTCATTATTGCAATGCTAGTAAAACAGTACAGTCAATATATATTTTAGCAAATCCTATTAAATTTTACATATCTCCTCTGTCCACTTTTTCAACCCCTCCACTGCTACCAGCCTACTCCAAGTCATTGTCATCTCTTGACTGAACTAATATTCACTTAATAAGTCTCTCCGTTGCCATTTTTCACCTTCATAACCTAGTCCCCACATGGTAACCAGAGTGATCCTTTTAAAATAAAAACCATGTCTTGCACAAACCCTCCATAGGCTTTCCATAACCCTTAATTAAATCCAAAGTCCTTACCCTGCTTTGGTGCCTGACTACTTAATCTCATTTTTTACATTCCTAACTGTATCCTCACCTTTCTTCTTGAAGTTAAAGGAAAAACACCCCCCCAAATTCCTGCCTCATCAGTTTTTCCTGCTACATGAAATAGTCTACCTTCAGATATCCATCAACATTGTTCTCGCCCCCTCACTTCATGTAGGCCTTTGACTCAAATGTTACATCCACAGAAAATAAATAGAACTGGAAGGTAAAAGTAGAAAGAAATATTTAATTCAAATATCAAATATACCTTGTTTTTCTGATTCTTAAAACCAGGCAAAAACTAATAAATCCCTAGTTTTTAGGGGAATATATATATAATATATGGCATACTCATAATACTATAGAGATAAGGGATTTATAAGTGAGGGAAGGAAGAAGAAACTAAATTTTTCTTTAGGTTTGAAGTGAAATAATCTTGGATCTGTGGGAAACAGAACAAGCCGGCTGCTGTGGTCTAAATCAATTGTTTCTCCCTCAATCCAGAAGATGGGGTTGGGTGTGGGACCAGTTAATTCTCCTTTTCCCCTCTTCTTGGGGAGGAACTGATACATCTCTTATAGTGACGTGACTCCTAAATATATGGTAAGAATGAAAATTAAATGTAGAGCTCTGTCATAAAAGAAAATGTAAACACTTAGGGATACCAAAAGGTTACACACAAGGAAAAAATATAGCTCACTTCTGCTCAACCCTAATCCATGGACAAAAATAATTCCAACACATTCAGCATCTTAAGACTTTTATAAACAATAACACATCTCTGTCCTAGCAGCTTCAATGTTCCAGGTCCTAGTCCTATATTAAAAATTCCATTAGAAATAATTATGAGAGAATACTAGCCTTATCCGTGTGTCACACTCCTGAGATCTAACTTAATCTTATTTCAGACACGGTGGCAGGACATTAACAAACTATTTTCATATGCTCATATGTACGATTTTTTTTATAATAAATTGTGTATCATTCAAAATTTAAATTTTACAGTGAAAAAAACCACAAAAATTGAGAAATTGGAGAATGAAAATAGAAGATAAACTCTCTTATAATAAACTAAAAATCAATCAAGTTAATAGCGACTATATTGCAAGTAACTTTAATAAATGCAAATAAGGAATTTATCACGTTAAACAATTGTAGCAAAGTAATATACTTTATAAAGGTATACTTATTAGCATCCAAAATGCTAATTTTGGCCCACATTATGTCTCACTGAGAGATAGGAAATAGTTATAGCTCTCACAGTCTCAAGTGAAATTAAAGAACCAATAAAACTGTAATTTCTCAATTCAAATTTTTTCAAGGGCATAAAAGAACAATGGCAGCCATACTTTTGGTATTATGTTCTGCTCAGGGTAGACACCCTCCCTGGATAGCACTTTCCTGCTATTCAAATCTCAACTATTCTTCATCACTGTTCCTTTATACAGTCTTTTCTGTTCACTTCAATCTCATTTTCTTTCTCTCACCTTATGCAATTAAGTATAATGCTCTTTTGAAATTTAATCACATTCTGCTTTCATCTGCTCAATTTCTTGTATGTATTTTATCTAGGTTCTTTCACCCTGACTGTAAGATCCTTAAAGGTCTAAGTATAATACTTTATAATTCTTTGTATATTATGCAGCACATAGCATAGGGCTAGAGTGTCTATTTCCAAAAAACAAACAAACAAACCAACCTAGAATCAGGTGGCACCTGTGGCTCAAAGGGGTAGGGCGCTGGCCCCATATGCTGGAGGTGGTGGGTTCAAACCCAGCCACAGCCAAAAAAAAAAAAAAACCCTAGAATCTTCGGAATAACATTTAGGTCATTACAAATTCTCAGAGTTCTGCGCATGAAAACTGAACAATTCAGTTAATTTCATAAAAGAAATAAGACTTAATCCATGATATAATTTCTGCTAATACCCTGAACAGATTGTCTAAAACTTACATATAGCTGTACTTTCTAGAATTCTTGAATGTTAGTGAAACTACTCTTCTAAAAATTTAGACAAATAGACTTTTAGGCTGTAAGAGCTAGAAAAGTACTCTTGGACTTTTAGTCCAATCTTCTTTTTTTTTTGTCACCCGTGGTAGAATGCTGTGGGACGAAAGGCACCTGCCACAAACCCCAGCTACTTTTAGAGATAAGATCTCTCTCTGGCTCAGGCTGGTCTTGAACTTCTGAGCTCAGGCAACCTACCCACCTCAGCTTCCCAGAGTGTAAGGATTACAGGCGTGAGCGATCCCACCTGGCCATCTTATTTATTTATTTATTTATTTTGCAGTTTTTGGCCAAATCTGAATCTGCCATTTGAATGGGTTTGAATGTGCCACCTCTGGTATATGGGGCTAGTGTCCTACTCCTCTGAGCCACAGGAGCTGCCCTATTTATTTTTTGATGGCAAAATTAGGTCCAGTGTTTATTAAGCAACTTATCACAGATATTGTGAGAATCCCTGTTTCTTGAATTCCAAGCCAATATTCTTTCCACTACACCATACCATCTCTTCTGTAAAATTAGACACTACATAAATGACTTATAGGTAAGCAAACCTAATAACGACAATGTAAACATGATTTTACTAAAATAACTGTCAGTATGAAAAATTAGGAGTTATAAAATCAAGCATTAGTCATTATCATCTATCCCTATTTATGCTTATACATACTTAAACTACAGGAGTTAGGGAGAAGAGAAACAAATTATACAATACTAATTTTACAATGCTTTTAAATACATATTACTTCTAAACATGTATTTTAGAATAAACAGTTAAATACAGACTTAAGTTCCCAATGGAAAAACATAATAAAATTGAAAGATCACAAGAAAGCCAACTAGTATATTGTTTGTTGTCATATAGATTATTGCATCTAAATAGTTTATTTACCACTGGTTTCCTTAAGATGTCCTTTCCTGCTGGCACTGTCAGTGCCACAAAGACCTTTATAAAAGGTCTTTTAAAGGCTGCCATGACAATGAAACAAAATAAATTAATCTATAAAAATACTGGCATTTACTTCAGTTGGTTAGAACAGAAGTAATTCTCCATTGCCATAGTAAATGGTAGCAGTATTTTCTCTGAAATGTTTTGTTCCTACCTTATATAGGCGTGACCTAGAGATTTGCAAAACTCCTCAATCGCCAAAGCCTTTGTGCCATTCATATTAGAAAGATAGCCAGGGATGAAGATTACTCCTGGACTTTTGCCTTTTAGCTTCTTATAAGCCAGGCTTGGAAGGTCTGGTCGATTAAGTAAAGAGAATGACGTCTTTTGTCTGCAAGCTGAACAAAGTACACAAAACATAAAGTATGGTTTGCAAATGCAGTTTGTAGAAAGCCACATATATTTTCAATCTTAACTTTCTTAACTCATTCATGTTAAACACCATTTAATAGGAAAAACAAAACCAGACTCAAAGTCTTAAATTAATGTCTCTGCATGAGATCTCTAGTTTTAAGATGGTGTCCGATCAGTATCTTCTTTGATCAAAGTCCAAATCTCGATTCTTCCAAAATACACAATGAGGTAGAAATTCCAAAGCAACAAAATGAGACTCATCAAAAAACATTTTCCTGTGTTGCTATATAGTCTATCCTCAACAGGATCGATCAACATTCAGACTTACCTACATTAGTTTCACCTCTCTTGAGGGATTTTTGTCTTTTTTATTTTTTTAAAAGTTTGAAGAGTTTCACATGCTCTGTTTGAGGAGGATGAGAGGGAGAAAACTGCCTTTGATAAACTGTTTCCAAGAGGAAGGTGCCATGCCTCTCATTTCCACCCACAAAACGGGCCATGGTTAACAGCTCATCGTCATTTTTATCAGCTGAGGTGAGTTCAAGGAGCAGTTTCATAACAATAACCTTGAATAACGTATAGTAGCATCCTTTCTGGAAACTTTCTCAGGGGACTCTGCAATCACTTTGTGCTTTATTTCTTAGTTTGCTTTCTGTAAATGGTATACACAGATCTTAGCATAATAGTACAACTGTTAATAGTACAACGAAGAACTTACTCCATTTCTTTATTTATTAAATTTTCTCCAAATCAGTATTTGGTCTTAAGACATTTTTACATAACAAAGTCATTTTTAATCTTTCCTCCTCCCTACAAAGACATTAGGTTTATGTCCTTTCTTATAGTCTTTATCTGAACTTTAATAAAATCTGTTTAAATTCATTTAAAATCTGTTTATTAAATGAAGCTTTCCTCCATTATCTTGTGGCTGATGAAAACTGTCTCTTCCCTGTGTTGCTAAAGTTTTCCCTAGTTTGGATTTAAAAAGATGACTTTCTTTTATAAAACTTAATTGAAGGCCTTAAATTTATCCCTTTTACAGGTAAGCTTATTTGAAAGTTTCAATAAAGAGAGAAATCTGCCAAACTTCAGACTTTTGGTAGGGGCCAGTTATGCTGGGCTACAGACTGTATCAGTAAAAAACTGTTCGTTTCCCATTTTCTTAGCTGAGCACTCAAAAACTCCTTTCTATCCTCTTCAAGGTGTTACTTCCCAGCCCAGTAATTTTCCGGAAGTAATTACAATTTATGTAATGTTAGTGAGTTTCAAGTGGACAGAGTCTTAACAAAATAATCATAAATCATCTTTGCACCACAAGGATTAGCTCAAAGCTTGGTGCAAAAATGCTTACTGAATGTTTGCTAAACAGACAAAAGCCTATTGTTCTCTGGTTAATGAACTGACATACTTGCTAGGCGTACTTACATACAATCCACCTTTTTGTTGTGTACAACTAAATGTAAGTTAAACTGATTATGTAAGTTTAAAAATTTAACTCAAAACAGAGGATCTCTGCCATGACATTGATTACCATTCCGCCTGACAAGGGTGTGAACACCACACGAAGCCAAAAAAAAGGCTGTAATTCAAAGACAGACTAGTGTACAATGGAGAGGTTCTCTGATTTTTTGGTCCAAATTCCAGTTTCCTTTGCAGGGTGCTGATTATGGTTCTCTCACTGAGCAGGAGCCCCAACACTACAATACTGGAAATTAGGCTTAACAAGGGCGTCTACACTTTTAAAAAGAGCATGCCTCCTCTATTTTAAATCCCCTCAAGTCAAGGAAGGGTGCGCTAAGGAGTTTAAGAGTTACCACCTGTAAACCCCAGAAGCAACTAATAATCAAAGGCACGAAATGCACATCTGCATCTCTCCGAGTGCTGGTGTTTAATGCAGGAAAACAGGCAGAGAGCAGGAGCTCCTTCAACTGCGGACCACAGAGCGCCGGTAAGGGCCGGCTGCCCCGAACGCCCCCGGGCCGCAGCCCAGCTTTCTCCGTAGCTTCCACCGGGACTGTACAAAGCGCCTAGAACCGGGGTGACAGGGAAGGGGCGTTTTTGAAGGGGGCGCCAAAAACGCACTGTACAGGTCCAGGAACTGACGCAACCCGAGGCGTTCCAAAGAACGCGCGCTCCTCCCGCCTTTCGGGCACTGACCTGGGAGCCACCGCGGCGCCCGCGGGGGCATCCGTGCAAGGAACGCGCCGAGGCCACGGTGGGGGCCGAAGAAGACGGCTGCCCAGCCCCAGCTCCGAGCAGGTACCCAAGACCCCACAGCGGCCATGCCCGCGCCCGCCATCTTCCCCGCTGTCCCGCACCCCACAGTGTCCTACAGAGACGCGCGCTCCGCGCAGGGGCCCGGCCTGCGCATGCGCCGCCGGCCGCGGGGCGGAACTCGCTGAGGAGCCGCCTGCTACGGTCACTCAGCCGGGGTCGACGTGCGCAGAGTGTCGTCGCACTGTCTTCGAGGTTCGGCCTCTAGTTTTATTCTTAGGCGATTGTGCCTGTGACAGTTTGGGTTAATTTTGAGTGCGGTTGGGAAGCTGCCTGCCTTCTCAGGGAGCTGACAGATACTCCAGGGCAGGAAGCTGGGGGGAGCCTGGGTCCTCGGCTGAGAAGCTCACCCCGCAGGGGACGCGAGGCTTTGCTGCATCACAAATCCCTCTCCTCCTGGCAGCTTTAACCTGTCCCGGAAATGCTTCTAGAATCCGACCTCAATCTGGCTGTATAAATACCTGAGTACAGGTTCGCCAATCGCTCGTCGCTTTTCAATTCGTTGGTTTTGTTTTATTTCTGTATATGCCTGACCAGTGAATTACTGAGTTATCTTGACCCCCCGCCTCATGCTATCCGGCAGATGAATGATCTCAAAGGAAGAATAAAATTGAAAGGATTAAATAAAATTTAGAATATTTATACTCCAGGGATAGAAGAAACTTTTTAAAAGTCAAGATTTCAAACCACGAAATCCTAAAGAATATTTGTGTATGAACTTAAAATTTTTTTAAATAGGAAAAAAACACATGAAGTCTAATAACCTAGAAGAAGAGATTTTGCAGCATAGATACGTCAATACGCCTATTCAGCCTACTCCTAAAAATTCAAAAATACATTAATTCTAATAAAATTGGCCCATGGCTGTGAATAGACAGCTCAGGCAAGCAAACATGATCTATCCAACCTCACTAATTGAAAAATGGGAATTAAAAACATTCAGCTTTCCCCTCATTTATCAAATTGGCAAAAATTAAACACAGCCAGTATTGGCAAGAATGCTGGGAACTGGCATTTATGTGTGACTGCTGGGAAAGCGAAAGTTCAACTCTGTTACCAAGTTACTCTGCCACCTCTATTACAATTTAAAAGTATGCATCACGTCCAATGCCTTTGACTCAGTGGCCTCAGTTTGTAACTATCCTATAAGAAACAACGCTAGTTTGTGAGAATGCATATTATCTACTACAGCACTGTTTTTAGAGAGAAAGAGAAAAAAAATTGGAATGGCCAACAATAGTTTTATAAATGGTACTACAAAGGTTTCTAGACTTCAGCTCTGACATCTTTTAAACTAATTCCTGGGGGCCTCAAGCATCAACCGGTAAGAACTTACCTAGTTTTTACCTATTTTAAAGTTACTCTAGCTCATATAATACTTTGAGTAAATCACTTTACAGTCCTGGTTATAAACTCTGGAGCAGTGATTGGTGCCAGAGCTGGAGAAGTTTGTATATAGCGAATGCAGCCTATCTTTGGAGTCTTGAGAATTTGTACTGTTGGAACACAGTGAAAAAGACTGAATAATAGATCTTTCTTGAGAGGTAATGACTCTCATATAGGAAGGATGTACAGTAAGGATAGCCCACTTGTTTCAGGATATACTTCCCTATGTTGCCAGTTCTCTTTAGTCTTGTAGATTCCTTGGTATTTAGACTCCAAGGGACTGGAGTCATCGCACTATTCCTTATATCTTAACAAACCTTTTTCCCTATAGATTTGGATAACTGCAAGTCTTCTTAATCATTTCTTCTCCTTGTCTCCTGCTTTATTTTTGCAAGTCATCTTGCATTTAATATGCAGCAAAATGAAAATTCTGACTCATCCTCATAGTGGGAAAAGCATGGTGCAAAAAAGTGGGGAAGTCCACGGATTGTTTTCTCTATTCACCCTTATCAGCCTAACAAATCAGGAAAAAATGTGGTTGAGGGCAAGTGTAGATGTTTTTACAGACAGTGATGAGCCTGAAGTAGACAAATTTGTTTTCACTGTGGGTACCTACTGTCAAAGTTGCCATTTTAACGTACAAAAAGGTACATGGACAAGGTCATTGAGGGTAGTTTTTCTCTGAGAAATCTACCTTAGTTCAGGAAGACAAATGAGGTCCTCACCAAGTAAAGCTTTACATTACAATTACATGACTTTTCCCCTACAAGATCAAAAGGTAAGTAAACCCAGTGCTTGTAATCCCCAGTAGTAACTGTATCTGTGCAAAGAAACAATAAAATGTTAGATTTTTTCCAGGGTTCATCTCATTTTGTAAACAGTAAGAGTTTCTAGATGACAAATCACAATTTTGGCACACAGCAAACTTTATATATCATAGATTCTATAATTGTCTTTTGCTGATTAAATTCATCTTCCATCATGTTAACTGATAAGTAGCTTCCGAAGGAAAGAAAAGTCTGTTTTCAATGTTGAAGTCGGCTCAACATTTTAATCCAAAACTCAACATATTTAACATACATATTTAAAAGGTTTACTACATCATGCAAGTTGATTAGAATACCTTTACAATCCTATGAAGACAGTACAGTACAGAAAAGTTGTCTTTATATTAACCAACAGAATTTTAGCAATTGTATTTCACTTTCTTTGATCATTATAGCGTTCAAGGGTGACCTCTGCAAAATCAGATTGTAAAAATGTCTTCCACACTCATGATTTTTGTCCTTTACTGTTCAAGTAAAATCTTGTGTCATCCAGTTGCAGAATCTTATTATTGGCAACATGTACACATGTATACAAACTATACATTACAAATTAAAAAAAAATTGTACCCAGTGAGGCCTGACAAAATTTTATAGAAAGATACTTTTAATCTAGTCATTTCACTAGGTACTAGTAAGTCCTATCATTTTCTACTTCTATTCATTTGCCATGTCTTAGGAGAGAGTACATTCATACTTACAAACATGCAAAACATCTTAAACTAGAATAAATGGCACTTGAAAAACCATAGTAAAAGAGACTTGCCTGAAGTCCTTGCATTCAACAAAAATTAAGTTAACTCAGAAAAACAAAGGCTAATTGTAAAAAATATATAATGAAATAGTACATCACAGAGAATGTTAATTTCAATCTCATTTGCCTTTTTATGGAACTATACCATTTCTGTAAATAAGTATTTTAATTGGTCTGTTCTTTGGTGAAAACAGAGATCTGATTTCATAGTCAAGTCATGTGAGGGTTCAGTGAGCAGGGGTATTCTACAACAAAGAGAAATCAATCTAAAAGAAGTCAGCTACTAGATGGCTTTATTCTCTGCACCAGGAGTAGAGAAATCTTCAGTGAAATAAGCTCCTAATACTGAACATTCTTTTTATTGAAAATTGTCCAATGTAATAGAATGCCTGTTGTCTAAGATGGTTTTTTCCTAAAACGCATAGCCTTCTGCATTTTCTTCTTTTATAGAAAAAGTGGTTTACTTATATGCCATTAGTAACACTACAAAGTCAATTTCCTGGGCATTTGATGGCATTAAATTCCATTTTGAAAAACAAGGTAACACTAAATGCAGTTCAGCAATTGCCATTGCTACCATTAAACAGAAGTCATGTCAAGTCTTTGGCTTTGGCGCAGTACTTAAAAATTAAAGCAAAACTTCTCATAAAACATATTCCCTTCCAAGCCATTATTTGCATATATATATATATATATATAAAATAACCATCAGCAAAATAATATTTTAAAAAAAGAGCCAGTTGATTATCAATAATGTCAACGCCAATGATTTGGGTGATAAAATGCCATATTTCCAAGTATATACAGAGATTTTGTAAACTGTTTATTTCACCAAAATCAACAATTGGTGAAAAATAGTTTATAAGAAATGTTCCTGTAAGCGATGCTATTTCTTAAAATAATGTTTTTCTCATGGGAACTTAAATTCCTTTGCTATTTATCATCAAGCTCTGTATCAATACCCCTTCATTTGTCTTTACAAATGACTTCTTGTCAATATGGGAAGAGTTCTGAATGTACACAGTTGAAGGGATGGGTCTGTTGGGTGTTCCCATCTGGGATTGAATATGGCTTCTTTCTTGTAAGAGGTTATTGCAGTCTGCCCTGAAGTGGACTGTTGCTCCAGTTCACTACAACAAGAAGTGAGTGTAACCTTCTGCCCCAGTAACTATAACATCCATCCAGATCCGCATGGCTTCCGGTGATGGGGCCACCATGTAATAGATTCTGTCATGCGTCTTGACACTAAAGGTGAGTAATGGATTAGGACTCTAAAATTCAAAAAAGAAAAGGTATGAAAAACAAACATCTTGAAATAGAATATTAAATAATACAGACATATGTGAAGGCTTCATCCTCTTTAAAAGCTCCAGTATATAAAATTGATGAGGACATCACTTTCACTCTGCTTTAAGTCACACATCTGACCCCAATGCCTTTCTCAGGATTGGACAACTTTTTGCCCTTTCTGCGTAAGAAATTTCACCAGAGCTCACCAATTCTTTTAGCAGTTAGTTTGTAAAGTTCTAGCAGGGTAGCTGGATAACAGGAACTTAATAGACAGTAGCCAATATTCACAGCCCTGCTAAGATCTTGCTCATAATCCCCCTCGTTTCTGCACTCATAATCCCCACTCCTTTCTAGAACTCTCACAAAGTCACTTTGCAGTGTCTTTATCACCAATGTGTACAGAGTCTTTCTTCACTTTTCCATGTCTTTTTTTTCCTTAAAAAGATTAGCCATCCTACTTACTTTTATTATTTTTCCAGCACCATTCTGACCATATCTATCTGTTATGTCAGAACAACAAATCAAAATTAGAGTCCAAAAATAAAAAAATATATTTTTCCCAATTCATTTATGCATTAGAATTGTAGGAAGCTACAAAACTGATGTTTACCTTATTAGCATTCTTGAGGTGATCATAATATACTTCTTCAATGGCTTGAAAGTATATTATTCCTTTTAATTTAGTTTCATGCTTATCTGTAAAGATAGATGAGAGTTAAAATACATACTTCATCCCTACTGATACACAGAAGCAGTGATAATTGCATTGTAATTGTCATTAAAATATTTATAGAGTACTTAAATAAGATTAATTCAGATAACCTGAGTTAGTGCATTAGTCCCATTCTATATTGGAAAAAAAAAAAAAAACCATGAAATTACCAGTCTTAAACCAAAGGGACTAAATGACTTTGCCCAGGGCTCTTTAGCAAATTAGTAGTCAAAAAATAACACAGAGCTACTGACTGACTGGTTAGCACACAAACCATAAACACTAATGAGACCGAGAGAAATTATTTCCCCATATTCTCCAAGACTGTGTAATGTAAATATTAATATGCAGATCTGTTGAAATACTTTAAAATAACTTAAAATATTTTACTTATATTTCTTATCAGATTTCTGGCTCATTATGATTTTTCCCCCGTTTTCAACAAGAGCTTCATTCCAATGATGTACTATCCTTTCAGTGCAATATTTTCTAAGCTGTTTCCAAAGATTTCCTCAGGTTTACCATAGAAACGAAATCAAACCACCAATCAAAACCCTAGTCAAACAAATAGCACCAATCTGTGATCTAACATGTTCTTCAAATATTCTGTAATTTAAACTTTGTAAGGATCATAGTGCATGTGAGCATATTTTAAAAGTATGGATAAAGATGCAGGAAAAGAGGCTCCATCATACCCATAAGACAAACCCTTTTGGCAGCCATTTGGTAAAACAATGAAAAATGTAAAAAATCCTTTTACTCAGCAATTCCCCTTCTAAAACTTTACTGTATAAGATCTACTCATACATATGCAAATATACACAGATTTGTGTTTGTTGTGGCACCAGGTTGAGCTTTTTAATAGGGGACTGACTCAATTACAGACCAGCTGTACGGACGGAGTTGCCACAGCTACTGAAACAACAGAGTGTGTCTCATAAAGTATATGCTCATAAAAAAAAAATCTTGAAATACTATGACAGTAGAACTTCTGTAAATTGACCACCCTAAGGGACTGTAATAAACTGGTCAATATGAGGAGGTGGTCGCTATAAAGAACTAGGCCTGTGTGCTGATATATACATATGCTACATTTCGGTCTATGAAAATTAGGTCAACTTAAGGAGGTGATCAATGTAGGGAGATGGTCAACTATGGTGATTCTACTATATATGAAATAGGGTATGAACAGAGTGAAGAATTTGGTCCCAATTATATAAAAGACAAAAAATACATAAACACACTGACTGAACCACATAGAAAAATGAATAGAGAAAATCTGAAAAGATATTTCAGACTTCATAGTGGGAGGTCAGAGCTTCTGTGATAGGAATGAGATTTACTTTCATTATACAGAGTTTTATTGTATTTTGAATTTTTTTTTTTTTCAGTTTTTTTTTTGGCCGGGGCTGGGTTTGAACCCACCACCTCTGGTATATGGGGCCAGTGCCCTACTCCTTTGAGCCACAGGCACCACCCAGTGTATTATGAATTTTTTACTAAGTGAGTATCTCTTTTTCCCAGTAAGAACAACAAAAAGCTAGTCTAAAAAATAATGGCCCTGAAAGGTTCAGCTGAAAATAAACCTACTTAATTGCATTTAATCCAGAATTTCCTAATTTATTTGACCTGGACTGTATTTTTATGTGTTTGTTTTTGGTTTTCAACCAGTTTTAACCAGTTTCTATGAAAGAGAAAGTCAATGTATCTGTATCTCTCAAACATTTCCTGGAAAGGATGTTGCAGAAATCCATGAGAATACAGTAACGCTTGATTTCTGACAACAGAAGGAAAATAAAATCTGGAGATCAAAACAAACATTATCAGTGTTTCAAGTAGACAGAATAAAACTTTTGTTTGGATGGCACTTCATGGGACAAAGAACTCTGAAAAATATAAGCCTCACAACCATATTGTGAATTAAGAGAATCAATAATGCTACTGTAAATTGATAAGAAATGCTATCCATTCTGTCTCTCTCAATAGTATTACTCCATCAATTTAGACATATTTTCTGTGCCCCAGTAGAGACACTCCTAAATTCCCAGTTAAAATACAAGCGGCCCAGGACAGAGGCTAGCATCATGAATGACACAGCCCCGGCTTCACCTTCTGGGCCACTCACACTGCAGGTGCTTCACAGGGCCATTTACTTCACGGACAAGCGGAGGGTCAAGTCAGTCTGAAGTGGATTCTGGATGACTGCCTGGGGTTGATCTATTCCTGTTGGTGTCTGGGAAATGGAGGCTGGGCAGAAGCAGAAGGAGCTGATGTGTGACCGTACACAGAGCCAAATGGGCAGCATTTGGACAACTAATTCTCACTACTCAGATCTACATAAATATTAAAAAGCTGAAATAACAATTTTTGTATTTTAGGTTTCTTGGGTAACCTTTCATGTATGAAAGAGGTTTTGCTATTAAAAAATTTAAAATTAGGTTTCTTGGGTAACCTTTCATGTATGAAAGAGGTTTTGCTATTAAAAAATTTAAAAACCAATCGCCCAAAGTTTCAATCTGGAAAAACATATTTATGTAGCTTAGAAGCTTAGCAGGTAGATTTAGAGAAGCTGGCCAGGGTGCCCAGCCACTCCTGTGACTGATGGGTGAGAGAATGAAGTAAAACTTGCAGAAAAAAGGAGCACAGGGAAGAATGAAGCTGTTTTGTCCAAAGTTCTTTTAAAAATTTATTTTTGGAAAATTCTGGTGAGTTTTTCTGTAGAGACTAGCACACCACAAAGTTGTGTGTATGCCTTCTGCAGACACCAAATTGTATTTCTTCTTACTAAATTGGTGTGTTTCCTATTTTATTCATACTAACTGAAAAAAAGCTGCTGTGGATTTTTGGAAAACCCAAGGTCTGAAAGCCCTAGAGAGACAAAGCAAGCGACCGGGGATGGTAGGCTGTTTGCCTCAGACTACTGACTTCAGTAGTCTCTGGAGCCCCACTAAAGGGGCCCCTCGGTGAAAGGCAGACATCCCCTTCCGGCTCCCCCTCAATCCTGGTTCCAGAACCGGCCTTGCCTTTCTTCCACAGGTTTCTCACACCTTCCTCATGGACATAACCTGACCTCCTAGCTGGACTGCTAATTACAATTAGTACATTGATTACATTTTATAATAATTCCGGATGATGTTCATGAATACTGACAGTCACCCAAGGCAATGTTTCCTCCTAACATCTGGGACCACACCAGTCTTTTCTAGTCACTGAAAAGACAGCAGAGCTACACTTACGTGAATAATGGACCCATTTTATATGGGTCCAAAAATAAACAAGAGGCTTCTTAATAAGCATGCCAGCAACACTAATATTCTTGTATTTATATAAGATTCAGTAGGGTATGTTTCTTAAAATGTAGCATTTAAGAATCCAAAATTATTTGGTTACTTAATACTGATACATTAATTTCCTGATAAGCTTTATTCTCTGCACTTAAAAGACTGTTCTAGTTTATAAATTATAGTTGAATGAGTGTCAGCTAGGGCTGCCTAACTGTGTGTGATTTAAATAGGACATCTGACAATCAATCCATCAATCACAAAAACCCTTTTCTCTGGTCTTATGGTTTAAAAGACAATATCCTGATCTAAAAAGAAATTCCATTTAATAATTGTTGGGATTTGAGTTTACTTCAGAATAGACTAGACTAATTCATACTTTTAAAAGAAACAGATGTTTATTATTTCTAGAATGAATATGCATATATATATTCATATCTAGTCTAAATATAATGTACATCTACAAAGCTACTGTTAAACTCTTATATCCATTGTTTGTCAACCTACCTATTTATACTGAACTTCAATTTCCTTTTCTCCTTAACAGAGGGTTCCAGATTAGAGTATATCACTTAAATTTTTTTATCCACTCACCTGCATAATAAGAGAATGTTCGCTTGTTCCTATCAAAAACAAACCAACGTTTTTTCCAAGTTTTAATTTTTCCACCCATTTTGATGAGGAATCCTCGGCAGGTCTTCTCTGTGATTGATACATGATAACAAGTATCAATATTGTGGCCTGCAGTCTCCACATGGCTCCGCAAATCAAAGTCTTCCTTCCGGACAGGCAAATAGCGTGTCAAAGGCCGAGCCTGGAAAAGGGCAAACCCCATTCAATCAATAGTAATTATTTGGTTTGTTTTAGGTCACAGATATTTAGAAGCAGGAATTAACTATAAAGCCTAAGGTTTAAAATGCCTATCTGATTATAAAAGCTAAGATGAACAAAGCACTTATCGCTTGGAGTCTAAAACGGTTCAGTATTTTGAGAAGGACACGAGGATATGTATATGGGTTGGGAGTGGATAAACTCAATCCAATATATTCAATTCCTTAAGATGGGCAGATTAGAAAGTGGAAAAATGTCACTTATCTTAGTTTAAAAGAGGTTCTTAGCAAACACAGGAAAACAAAGCGTGATGTTGTCCGGGCTGCACTCTGTGGATGAGGCCTCCTCCACTGTAAAGCTTGCAGAAGTTGTCCCTGCCGCGGTCTACAATTGTTCTTAAATCTCATGATTGACTGAATGCTATTTAATACATATACCCCCTGGAAGACCATAGAAAGCTGATACTGGCTTATATACACTCTGATAGAAATTGAAGGCAAAGATAGATGTTTTGACAAATGAAACTAAAATAGGAGGTGAAATCAAAGCTGGACCTAATGTTATAACTGTCCAGAAACAGACACCAGAGAGATATATTTAGGTATCTTTTATGTTATTAATGCCCAGGGGAAGAGTAAATCTAATTTTGAAAGCATATATCACCATGGCTGATTATTTCTAAAATTGTGTGTTATTTTATCTTGTTAAATAACTCCACCCCTTTGCCTTGGAGAAATGCTTTAATCAGATACTTGGAGGCAAAACTTAGTATTAAAATAGAATTGTGCTTTTTGGTTTGGTTTCGGATATTAAAAGGCATAGATGATCTCTGCTGCAAATCAGTATTTGGCAGAGGTTGGGCATAATGAAATAAAATGAACAAGTTTTATTTTCTATTTTTCCCTCAATATTTAACTTTTGATTCTGTGGTTCTTTGACAATAGACAGAGGCTTAATGATACCTCAAAGCACACAAAGTCTTAAAGATGTCGCCAACTGCTGTGGTATTAAACTGCCAGCAGCTATAAAGAATAAGGGAAATTATACCTTTTGCTTTCGAGCCTAGTAAACCTCAATAAAAGTGATTTGAGCTTTAAATTGCATGGTACTTAACAAAACTTTATTTTAGTTCTTCAGAAAACATACATTATATAAGTCACTATCATGACATGAACAGAGATTCAGACTCTATGATGACCAAGATAAGAAGCTAAACAAAATGACCTGTTTCTCCTAACTCTTCTTTGAGCTCAAGAATCTTGTGCACAAGTGTTGAGGACTGGTGTAGCAAAGGGGACACATGTGACAATATGATGGTTAGAAAAAAACTGAAAAATCTAACACCACCACCAAGATACTGGGATGGCAAAAACCCTGTTCTGGAATGTTTGCTTCTAAAAATGGCTTAATAGAACCTCTACCCTTCTTCAACCAAAGGTTTTAGTTTGGGTGTTGTATGTCTTTTCAGAACAAATCCAGCTACATTTTTCAGAGCTGCTCACAAAATATTTTCTTTTTAAAATGTACTCCAAAGAATGGGCAGAAGAAAAGGCTAAAACACCTCTCCCAGCAAAATGTTCCAAGAATGACTGCAGAAAAGTAGTTCTCTAAGAATTTTGAAATAAACTCATATTTTATGCATACTACTGCACACCATTAACACAAAATGGTTGTCTTCTACAGAATTACCACCAGGGGGCAACCTACTCTTATCCATTCGGATGGACAGACCAACCTGAGCTCTTTGTTTCTCCCTTATTTTTACTTCCTTTTCTATTAACTTCTGCCTCTGGCTAGTTTCTTCCTGCAATCGTTTTTCCAGGATTTCTCGGCGTCGTTTTTCTTCTTCCAGGGCTCTTTTTTTGGCTTCCATTTCCCGTTCCTAAATATCACATATAACAATGATTATTTTAAAGCATGCTGGTTATTCTTGAATGGCTCCAATTAATACAGAAAAGAAAATTCTCACTAGATAATTCTTGGTTTGTAGTCTAGAGTCTTTCCAAAGCCTGACTAAAGCAATCCATAATCATCTCTGGTACAGCTTTTAAAATCATAATATGCAGAAATGCAACACCACTGAGTTTAACTAAATAATTAATTTTTTGTCCTCAGTGAAAATATTCAATTGCTTCATTTCCATGTCCACAACTCAACTCTCCCATTTATTTAAAAAATCTCACAAACTTTGACCCAACGCTAGTCATGAGATTTCGCCTTTCTTTGACTGCCGTCTTTGGACTGCAGGCCGTGGGTCCTTACAATTCCTGTTGTTGCTCTGCAGCTTCCTGGCTGAAGGTTGCAGCGGACGCCCATGAGGAAGTTAAAAGAGGAAAGGAGGTGCCTTTTAGTCAAGGCAGGATGCAAAGGCATTTGGGGGGATTCCTAAGGAAGTTCCGATTCTAGCTCGAACTACAGTCACAATAACACGGGACTGTAAACATTACAATAGCGCAGTTAGCTTAGGCTAGGAAGGGGAAAAAGTGCGTAACGGCATGACATTCCGCCTTGTTCCTTGGCAGGAACACAACAGAGCCATCAAAGAAGAAATACAATTCAAAGCATTCATTTTAGTCTATGTCTATATATATATATATATATATTTTTCAAGTTGTGAAAAATCGTAGTGCGGTAATGAGCCGTAGAAGTCATCTCTCTAAGCAGTGGTTCTCAAGCTTCCTAATGCTGCCATGTATTTTCATTGTTACAAAGGGGTCACAACCCACAGGCTGAGAACCACCGCAAGACCTTTGCTTTTCAGATAAGAAAAGGATGCTGAGAAAAGTTGAGTGGCCATACCCCACGATCACCCTGCTTACTAAGGCTCATTGAGGAGGAACATTGCCTGATGGCAAGTACAGGGCTCCTCACACCGCATGTTACAGACCTCCAGCATGCAGATATGAAACTTACCCTGGATTCAAGTAGTCGTGTCTTTTCTGCATGAGCCTGCTTCAAAAGTCTCTCCATTTCTTCTATTCTGGCAATATTTGAAGTGCTGGCACTGGATCAAACACAAAAGCCTTTTAAGAATATTTGTTCAGATTGATAAGTCTCTTTAATATGCGTATGTGAGTGCGCACACACACACAGGATGAAGGGGGTTGCACGACAAAATCCAAGCATATACAACTTACAGGATGTCACTGATCAGTCATTGGTCTGAAGAGGCAAATCAATTCAACTTTGAAAATTGTGGGTGACCCTGACACTGCAGTTTAGGAGCCAAAATATAGGCAAGCAAAATAACGCCAGCATAAACTACCTTACTCACAAATAAATCAAAACCCAAATGTTACAAAGTGTGACTTCTAAGTTAAGGTGACCAGACATCCCGCTTTTGGTGGGACAGTCCTGATCTTTAACAATTTGTCCTGCGTCCCGCAGTGTTTTAAAAAAGTCTCAATTTTTGGAAAGAATGCAAGATAGGCTAGGGAACCGTGGGAAGGCAATTTCCAGTTTTGTTTTCGAAAACAAATGTGACTCCATTTGGGAATGAAGAGGTTAATATAACTTCATTTGGAAATGAAAAGGCTAATGTAAACTCCCTACTCCCCTCCTGGGCAAGGTCGCCCAGGTGGACCAGCACCCTACTCCTTTGAGCCACAGGTGCTGCCCTATACATAATTTTTTTAATGTATTATATTTGTAAATTCTACTTATGTTGAAATTAAAAACATATATATTACAATACTATTTTTGCATTCTATGAAAATTTTTGTTGCTCAATATAGACCAAATTTTTAATTAAGAACCACCCCCCCACCCCCTGTCAATGGTGTCCCGCTTCACCAATGTTAAAATCTGGTCACCTTATTCTAAGTGCTTCTTCCAAAATCTAAAAATGACTGCAGGAGTTCTTCCCATTAGTTTGATGATTTAGAGATATTAGACCAACAAGACCATCACTGAAGTTCTATATAAATGTCACGGAACATTTGAAGTCACTTTATTCGGTTGGAGAATAAGTGTTTACCAGCTGCTTTTTGTTGTGACTTTATACATCTGGGCATTGTATTTCCTAAATGATCCCAATTAAAAAATGACCTTTCTTATAGGTGCAATGGTGGCCTGTTTTGTAAATAATGCTCGCCCACCATACCAAAGAGGAAAACATACAAAGGGAGTCAAGAGTGCAGGAAGAAATGATGGGAAAGCCATCATAGGAGGGAAGGAAAAGACTAAAGGGAGCACAGATCGCCAGAACAGTTAGGATAACTAAAAGCGGAACGGAAGAACGTGGAAATGTTTAATGCAAAGCTCAAGAGTTTGTTTTTCACTTGCTTACATTTTGACGCCTCTGAGAAAGAAGGACCTTGGCCTGGGTCAAAATTTATTTACTCTGATGCTTCAGCCATGGAGAGCCGATATTTCTTATGCAGGTGTATAGTCATTTAAATACCTGTCTTTTTTTCTTTCTTTTTTTTTTTTTTGTAGAAACAGAGTCTGACTTTATCGCCCTGGGTAGAGTGCCATGGCATCACACAGCTCACAGAAACCTCCAACTCCTGGGCTTAGGCAATTTTCTTGCCTCAGCCTCCTAAGTAGCTGAGACTACAAGCGCCTGCCACAATATCCAGCTATTTTTTTTTTGTTACAGTTTGGCCGGGGCCAGGTTTGAACCTGCCACCTTCAGTATACGGGGCCAGCGCCCTACCCACTGAGACACAGGTGCTGCCTTATTTTATTTTATTTTATTTTTTTGAGACAGACTCTTACTCTGTCACCTGGGCAGAGTGCAGTGGCATCATCATAGCTCAAAGCAACCTAAAACTCTTAGCCTCAAGCAATCCTTTTGCCTTAGCCTCCCAAGTAGCTGAGACTACAGGTGCCTGTCACAATGCCCAGTTAGTTTTTCTGTTTTTAGTGGAGACAGGAGTCTTGCTCAGGCTAGTTTTGAACTCCTGAGCTCAAGCAGTCTGCCTGCCTCAGCCTCTCTGAGTGTTAAGATTACAGGTGTGAGCCACCACACCCCACAGTGCCTATCTTCTTTATCAGACTCTCTTGAGGACAGACAGGCTTTCACAAAAATGGGATTCATGTGTGTTAGACATATTCAAATAAGAAGAAATTCATGGAAAATCTATTAAAAGTAAATAAACAGAGCTCTATTGGTTATAGCTAATTCTTAACATAATATCCTCAAATTATATTTTTGACAAAATTTAAACCTGAGATAGTTCAAACCTATGGCTAATAGCCTTACTAAAGAGATAAATGACCACATTATCAGGGCTTACATATGGTTTATCTTAAAATCAGTACTGCCAGCCCCAGTACAAAACATATCTATGGAAGAGAACAATACTTAAGGAATACTGCATCCTTACAAGCTTAGCAACTAGGCTGTACTTTCCAGGGTTACCTTGGGCCACATTTTAGCCAGGTACTTTTCTCCTGTGAAAGAGAATAATAAGGCTATACCTTCTTCTTATTTTAATTAGCTGTTATGGGAGCTACAAAAGGGTAAGTTTTGTTCTCTCCAGCTAGCAAAAGCTCAAGAAAAAAAAAAATCTTTAATTTTTGTGGAGGAATTCTTATTTCCCATTCTGGAGAATACCTGACTTCACGGATAGGAAAAGGAGAACCTTCACTGGCCCAACTCAGAATGATAACGATAAGAACATAGGCTTAGGACAGCACAAAACTGTATTCTTATTCTCTAGTGTTGTTGTGACATCGGATATGTGGGTCTTAGGTGTCTGATTAATTTAAACTTCACTAAGTTTCACGTCTTAAAACTCATCAGTTAAAAAAAACTATCAATAGCATGACCCCCATTTATCCCTTTTTTTCACATAGTCAATGTGAGTTTAGATTTCATTGCTTATCCTTTTCTTGGCGTACTTGTCTTCCCAGCTTTACTGAGTATACATATACTTGACAAATAAAAATGGCACATATTTACCATGTACCACATGTTTTGACATATGCATACATTGTACAATGATTACCACAAAACAAGATAATCAACACATCCATCACCTCACACGGTTACCACTGGTGTATGTGAGCGTGTGGCGAGATACAGTTGCCCCTTAATTCTTTCTACAGCACCGTTATTGATCATTTCCCACAGTTGCTTCAGTAGAACTGGCCCTGTGGTGCTAAGCAATCACAGATAACCAATCCCCAGGGTCAGAAATTTCTGACTCATAGTATTTATTTCATTGTGCTATCAGCTCTCTGAATGTCGAAAGATTGAAGCCAAAGCAGAAAATGCCTATAAAAGATCAAGTGTAAAGGAGAGAAAAAAACAGGCATTTCTCTTCTGCGCCACCATTTACCTTAAAAAAATCATGAGACTCTAATTATGATGTGGTGAACATCAGCATAGCAGTTAATAAGGATCTAAGGTTTGGAATGTGTATTGTGACAAAGCGTCCTTAATTGGAAATTTCTTGAAGATTGGTAGAAGAAAGAATAAAGGACTAAAGAATTTGCTTTGCTTAAGAGTTCTTTAAATTATGCACTAAAATACCCCAAATTATAAGTCTATTAAAGAGGTAATTCTATGCTGCAACTCTAGTGGTATAAACTTGGTCTCATGGTTTATTATGTCACAAAAAGCCAGTTGTAGAATTACAGAATTACTCAGAGTTGTGGGTACATCTGCCCTTCACTTCTTGATAATATATCATTTTTGTGACTACTGGAAAGTTACGTGAGTCAGACAATGTTTCTGCTTTGTCAGCATCAATATTTACACTGTAAACAAACGTAACAGCTCCGCTCAGAAACTAGGACTTTGGGTCTTAGAAAACAGGTAACTGAGAGTCAATCCTGCATAAAATCTCCATTCTGCTAAAATTATTGAATCAGCTTACAGAATAGTAATCTGAATACCATCTGCATTGGTACTTATTGTTACTATTGCCCTTATTAATCGACTAAGCCTTGACTTTGTGCTCATTCATTGAGAAGGCATAAAGATTGAGAATTGATCATCCTCTCTGTCAATAAGCCGTGAGGTGTATCAGGAGAAGAACGCATAGGGAATTGGGGGGATCTCAATGCCAGCTTCAGGGGTCTGACTTTATTAACAGGTAGTGGAGCACCATCAAAGCTTTGAAAGAGGAGACATATCATGGCCAAAATGATATTTAAAATATGCCCTTGGCTCTAATTCCCTTTACTTGCCTCAAGGTAGGAAGAGAAATGTGAATCATTAAATCCTTCAAAAAATTTTAATATGGTGAATAACAAAAGTCTTCCTTTTAATAAAACATGAGTGAGAACGCCTTCAAAGTTCTGACTCTGTTGAAAATTATTTATTTATTTAATCAAAAGCAGTGCGAATGAATCTTACAGTCAACCAACAGAAGCAAATCAATTCTGACACGCAGAACACATGTGAGCTCAAGCGGAAAGAAACGGTAAAGGAGGGGGATGGGCTGTATCATGTCTGACTGCCCCGGTCACAGAAGCTACATAGAAACTGATTTCAAAGATCACCATACCCAATCCTCTTCTGAGACTTTTATGTTCCCCAAATTTGGGTTTGTGCATGTACACGGTTCCAAATTGATGGCTTTACTTTTTGGAACCAGCAGGCTCTTTTTCAAGCCAGAAAACTTACCCATAAATAAATCCTACCTAGAGATATTGTCAGGTGAGCAAGCAGAGATGCTGGTCTCCATGCTGTCAGAGCTGTCTAGGCTCAAAGTATCAAAGGCCTGGTCCTTGTAGCTGTGATCTGGGTAATGGAAACTGTTCAAATAGACATTTGATTCAGATGCTGTGCGGTTGTAAAATTCAGATTTCTGCCTTTGTCCTTCACTCATCTGGTGGTGATTATAACCTAAAGAAAGAGCCATAAATATGTTAATACGCCTCACTTTTCAGTCTTAGAACCTTGTAAGTCTACAGACTCAAGCTGTCAGCCAGAAACATCTGCATATGAAACTGGGTCCTTGGTCTAATTTGTTTTAAAGCCAAGAAGATCAAAGAAACAACATCATGCTGAGTGCAAGCAAGAGTTTCAAAGAAGTGGTTTGCTGAGTGATCGTACTTGTCAGTGGGAGTACTTGGCACCTTCCTATGCCATCCCTACATCTTAACACAACTGAGAATAAGACATTAACACACACATAAACACAAAAGAAACAAAGCACAACACACTGCAGGCCCTGAATCTTCCGCAGCTGTGTCCAAGTAAAGTTGACCCTTAGTGACAAACAACACTAGGGTTCTAGGGCAGTGACTTCTCAATGGTACTCAAGTTCAGGGGCACTCAATCTGGTCACAAAACAGCAGGTGAATCTCTTAGGTGTAGGATTTGAGAAACTTGTACATCATCACTAATGCTTTTACTCTGGGTAACATCAAATTATGCATCTTGTCTCATTCTCTCTCTCTCTCTTTTTATTTTTCAGTTTTTCTTATCTGCTGAACTTATTTTAAACATCAACAATCCTGCCCGTGATTGTACTCCTGATTATTTACTTACAGCTCTCTTCTTTTCTTTTCTCATCTTAACAATCAGCCTTCAGCTAGCTGGTGATAACCACATCTGCAAATGTAGCCATCAGCGGGACCAAAAGCACCATAACTAAGAGGTTTCCTCTTCACCCTGGTGCCTGGTCAGCTGGCACATTAGGCTGCTGGAATGTACCTTATGTTATTGCTATGGGCTTGCTCTTTGATAGCTGATTTGGAGTATCACAAATAAATTTTTCTTCTTTTCGATTCTCTATTTATCATATACTCAAGAAGCAGTCATCATACTGATAAACAAATTCCATAATTCCTTAAAAAACATTTCTCTAGTCTGTACTATAGTTTGTAATCTCTTTCTCCTTAGTATGAAAAATGTCTACCTGAATAGTTTCCATTACCCAGGGAGCTATTACCAGAGCTATTAAGAGTTTACAACTGGGCCATTTGAATTTCTCCTCTTTTCTTGTGCTCTACCTCCTCTTCAACGAAGCTTTTAATTATTAATGAAATGGTCAAAAAGTCGACAAGAGGGCCAAAGAAGGGAAGTAATTCTAAACAGCTTCCTCAGCTGTTGATTAAACATTTCCATTTAAGAACAGAAGACACATGCTCTGACAAAAGCACTATATGCCCAAAGTGTTTGTAAAATGATTTTAGTTTCATTTAGAGTTTTCATGCTGTAAGTATTTAGATCAGTTTTAGCTATCTAAGTGAAAATATATTACAGTAGAACCTCCATAGTTGACCACCTCTCTACTTTGACCACCTCCTAAGTTGACCTAATTTTCATAGACTAGACATGCACCACATGTGCTTAGATCTAGTTCCTTATGTTGACCACCCCTATATGTTGACCAGTTTGTTACAGTCCCTTGGGGTCAACTTACAGAAGTTCTATTGTATTTCAGATTAAGGCATTTCCGGAAAAGTAAGTTTTCTTAATGTAATCTGCCATTAAATTATAAATACATCTTTTTTTAAAGCCACACATCACTTACCTAAGAGAAGATGCAAAACATAAAAACACACTGTGACTTGCAAGAATATTATTAATTGCAATGATTAATGTATTAATCATTAAATGAAGCTAGTTCATTCATATGTGCAAATCTTTTTTTAAGAAAGGTAAAAATAATTTATTATTCAAATCTTTACCTTTGATACTTGAACTTTTAGAATTGCCAATTGCTCCTTTTAAGTGGTTTCCAATTATTCATTATGAAAGAGACAAAAAAAAACCACCAGAAATTATTTGCAAAGGTCACATATGTGTATTCTCTTGTGATTTCAAAAAAGTCTTGTGGCATAGAAAACTTTCACATTGGCACAGACTACACGGAAGACCTTTCCCTGTTTCAGCATGGAAACCAAATCCTTATAATGCAGCCATGTAATTTAAAACACACAAAAATTGGCTCCCTGGCAATGACATGTGCTACCTCTTCCTCTCTTTGAGTTTTCCATATTGAGGAAAAACCAAACCCTACAAGTAACTAACACCCTCTCGGCAAAGCAAAAAAGAGGGTGAGCATATTTCTTCTTTTCAAAGCAACCGTATGCCTTGCTCCTCTGACTTTCGGCATTTTGTTTTTGTTTCTGTTTTCAAAAGTATCCCAGAATAAGAAAATAAACTTATGACCTTCAAGTGAGGGAGACAGTAAACTCACTCAAACTTCTCAGATGGCCAGGCAGGGACAGCTGCCTCGCAATGTGTGCTGTGCTAGGGAGAGTAAACACCAACTCACTGTTGAGGTTTGACTCTATGCCTGGAAGAATCTTCCAGTCCTTCTGGTGGTAGGATAAACACTTTACATTTTCATGGCAGCTTAAATGAAAAAGCCTGAGGCTACTGAACACATCTCTCCCCAAACCGGATCTTCATTTTCCATGGGCCCCATGTGAGTGGGAGTGTTCACCTTGCAGAGCTGCTCACCTCTGCCAACTGGCAAGACTTCACTGATCACAATGAACCCACCTGTCACCCTGCTGAACAAATCCAAAGAAAATACGTTACCCCTGCAATGATAAATAAGGGCATGGGCCTCTCTCCTGTGGCCATGGAATTGTACCAGTGTGATTCCAAAGAGCTGGTTCTGGGACTCAGGCTCTGGCCTGGCCCTCCAAGGGCACAGGTACTTTCAATAGAGGAAACACCACAGAAGATCAGGGTGCTGATGGAGGATGACCTAGTAGGAGGCCCAAGAAAAACTGCTTGCACAGAGAACGGGCACCAGAGTAGCTGTAAACTGGTCTCAGCCTCTGATCAGGAAAGGAGACACAGACATTCTGTTCACCACAATTTATCTTAGATTTCTTTCCTTTCCTTTTTTTTTTTCCTTTTCTTTCCTTTCCTTCCTTCCTGACAGAGTCTCACTTTCCATACTAGAATGGGAACATCAGACTAACTTACACCAACCTTAAACTCTTGGGCTCAAGCAATCCTTCTACCTCAGCCTTCCAAGTAGCTGGGACTGCAGGCACCCACCACAACACTGGCTAATTTTTCCATTTTTAGTAGGGGTGGGATCTCGCTCTTGCTCAGGCTGGTCTTGAACTCCTAAGTCAAGGGATCCTCTTGCCTTGGCCTTCCAGAGTGCTAGGATTATAGAAGTAAACCATTGTGATGGGCTTTACCACAATTTATCTTAATCTCTATTTATTTAGCATGTGGATGTCATGAAATTAAGAGTCGTTGTGTAAATTCATTTTTTCATCTGTAAGTTCCAACTATTTTAGTGGCCACATAAAGAAGTAGAATGCATCTATTTTCAGGGGTGGGGGTAAGAAACCAGATTGGGAAAAATGAGACTTTCCCAACCCTAAGACTATTTGGGTTTTGTTTTTGTATTTTAATTATGTAGCAAGAATAACATTCAGTAGTGGGAAAAGCACTAAAAAAGGAAAAATAACTTTGAGAATGCTATAAATCCTTTCTATCCAGACAGAAATAACTGAAGGGGCAGTTAAGGTTTATAAAGCAAGACCTGATAATACCTAAGCCTTGTCACCAATCATTGCACATATAAGAAAACAAAACCAAATCAGGTTTCTTCACTGTCTGGAAAGGCCCAGACACCAGATGAGCAAGGCCCAATTATTATTACAGTTGAACCTCCATAGTTGACCACTTTCCTACATTGGCCGCCTCCTTAAGTCAACTTAATTTTCATAGCCTGGATATGTACTATGGCCTAATTAGGCCATATGTACTAAGGCCTAATTCCATATGTTGACCACCTTTCTCCACTGACCAATTTGCTACAGTCCCCTGGGTGTTTGACTTACAGAGGTTTGATTGTATTTTTAATGCTGATCTCCATAGATCCTGGCTAAGTCTATGAATTCTCTATGAATTCTGAAAAGTCCCTAGTGACTTAACGATTGTGGGATATGCATAGTCTTGCCAATAAATCCCCAATATGTGTTATGTACCTTTAAATGATTATCTTGGCCTCAATATAGAAAATGAGATGATTGAAAATTATAACCTGGGTTTAACCAGTATTTCTGACAGTTCAGCCTATCATAGCTCACCTGCTGAGGAATTCATTCTTCCTAATGACAGTCCACAGCCGGAAGAAGGTGGTACAGGACAAGTCAGGAATGAAGAGGAGAATAACGGAGAAAAGGAAAAAAACATAAGATCAAAAAGGATGACAAGGGGACAGAAAAAATATACAACACTTGAGACATGCAATCACTGATGGTGTTAGTAACAATACCAGATTAACAAGGTATGATGCTCACATTTTCAGATTAAATCTAAGTTTACAGAGGAAAACTCAAGAAGTTAAAAAAAATTTATGATACATGCATAGTTAGTAAAAAAAAAAAAAAAATCTGCTACAGGAGAAAGAAGAATCGTTCACACACATTTGTCAACCAGAAAATAGGAAGGATAAAAACCAGATTCTGTCTATAAAACAATTCTTTTTCCAAGCAGACAGTAGCACATGGTTTTTAAAAGCTCAGGTTTGTAGAAGGCCCTTCAATTGAAGCACAGTCCATCCAACTATAACAAGTTCTCTAACATCCTCTCTACCTACCACCTAGCCACAGTAGCATTCATCTGACTTAGTCAAGTCAGTCATTTAAACTGTTCTTATCAACTAGGCCTAAGTGGAATAAGTAGGAGCTTCCTAAATCCTTCCTTCCTCCCACTATAGCCTGCCTTATTTATACCTGGCCTCAATAAGGAAGAAACACCATGTTTTACACTTAGCTCATGTACATCACAAAGCCCACTCTTCTCTTTATATATCTCCTGAGTCTTAGAAAACAATGCTTCCATCGTGCTCATGTTTCCTGCAAGGTCTGACCTTGTCATAAAAAGCCCAAACAAAGCGGGTCATGCAGCTGCCTGTGAATGAACAGCAGCTGCACCCGGCATTGTGATCCTTGCAACTGTGTAACAATTTTTCTCTATTGTGCAAAGGGAACAATCGGTAGACTAAAAATCCACCACTGTACAGTTTTAAGTCTGATCATTTCTTAAAGATGATTTGACAATGACCTTTCAATATTTGCTGGCAACAAAAACACCACACAAGGAGGTTGTCATACCTTTCTTGGACTTTCCTGCATTTAACAGAAAACAAAAGGACAAAGAGTTCATTCATTCTAGAGCTTACATAGGAATAGGTCCCAAGTTGTTCAAAAGCCAAAAACCATTGCAACTTCAGGAGTTGAGTTTCTTAGGTCTCTCCTTTAAACTGCTCCCAGAGTTCACTGTTCCCATGACTCACATTGTCAGTTCTATTAAAACAGTGCTGATTGAGTAACGCTCATACTTACACCATCATCCTTGATGTATCCATTACGAATAGCAGCAAAAAAATGGTGTATTTAAGTTAATTGTGTAAGTTTAAAAAATTATAAAGCCTACTAAATAAATTTGAGTTAATATGTTAAGTACGCTTTTTGCATGAACCATAGAAATTTATTTCTATTTGCTATTTTAATGATGCCAACAAGTGCTAGTGAAACAATTCTAAATGAAATTATGGTCCAGCCCTCCTGGCCTTTGTGGACAATCTGTAGGAGCTGTGTAGAAGATCCTGCCAAGTTCACAGTCTGCTGTGGTTCTAAGAACCATAGTTCCCAACTGCTCCTCAAAGAGCCCCCCTCACATGACACATCCCTTTGAATCAACACACGTATGATGGTTCTCTATTTACTCAGAAGCTGCCTCATCAGTGTCATTTGAGAGGTTCACCACAGCAGAGAAAGTCTGAAGCTTTAAGTCTTCTTAGGTATATCAAAAACATGTCAGTGAAGAACAAGAACACAAAAGATAAATCAAAGACCATAGATTTTGCAGAAGGCACATCTGGAACATGGCCTAAGGGAACTGGCTCAGTTTTCCTCCATGAAATTAGCACAGGTATTCCCATTAGTTGGGAAGAAAACACATTGGAATAAAAATAATTCAACCCTCCTTCAGTTTCACCACATTCTCCCAAGAATCCTCTTCCATAATAATGTTCACAGCTCTTGCTTTTTACAAATCTAATCTTTTAGTACAAAGGTCTGGGTTTTCTTACTCTTTATTTCAACAAAGTATTTTCAATATGCGGTATAATAACTTGTGATCCCACCCTATTTCCCAAAAGCTTCCCCTGAACGACTGTAACCCATGAAGCACATGAATATGCTAACTGGTCTTTTTGGTGTTGTGGCCAAGCCAAGCCATGATGTCTTCAGCCAGTGGGAAAGGACATTTGAAAAGTCTGTCAGTATTACAAAAAAAATTACAACAGAACACGGACTTCACCTACAAGCGAATGGTGATAAATGAGAGCCAAAAATAGAAAGACTCTTTTTTCTTTATTATTTATAAATATTAAAAAGTATTTTAGCTTACTAAGAAATTACAGCAAATAAAATAGAGATGTTCAATCAAATGTACTTGATTCAAATATTATCAGTGTATTATAATGCACTTCTATGTATTATAAATATCACAGCCACTAACTCTCAAATCCCTTTTAGTAATGATCTGAAAACTTCATTCTGGGGATATATATCACATATATGCACATAACACACATCATGTGTATACATATATCTAAACCAATATATGTAAATATGTGTATTTATATACATGTATATATTATTTTCCCCTGATGAGAAACCAGTGATTATCCCCTAGCACCACTAGCAGAGAGGCCAAGCAATCAGAATTGAATTCCGATCTGCTTGGTGGGCACTGTTTCAATCTCATCAACGCATGAGTGTACTTGGAGGCCTGCTGCCTGCCATCCCATTGGTATTCCCATTTACAAATCCTAGATATATTGCCATTTTTGCACTTATCACATTTTATTGAAATCATCTGTTAAAAGTCTTTCTTCCTCACTGGCCTATAAGCACTTCAAAGATAAGGATCATGTCTTCATTGGCATTCTTGGTATGTAGCCCCCTGCCTGCCTCAGAGTTAGGGGCAGTATGAATTGCTGATCTAAACTACTGTGTTAACACTAGAAATCTAATCCTCTCATCAAGACGCTTACCTTTGGAACTTTATAGTAATTTCTTTTAGCCTCACAAAGACAATTTGAGAACATCATTTTAAATGCAAAATATTATAGAGAAAATATGCCAAGAGTCAAAGTCTACCTGAAACCTAAAAAATACATAGTATAACAGCTCAAATCTATATTAAAAGGCCCACAAGACTTCTGCTCTAGGCCACTAGTGCTATATTTACCATGTTAGCTCAAGAATTCTTTAGTATAAGTTTCTTTCAACCTAGTGGCTCAGCCTTGACCCAAGTGAGTGATCTTGGCTAAGTGCCCTGGATCTTGGTGGTCTCTTTCTTTTTTTGCTATTAATCAAATAGGTAGGTTTATAATTCTCTGGGCCTTTCTGGTTTGAAAATTCTATCAGATCTATAAATTACAACATGTATGTTTAAAATGTACTAATTACATGCACAACTAGGAAAATCACCTCGATAACTTTTATTACAATAAGGATATATGTATGTATATATACACACACACACGTATATAGCATGTGTGTGTGTGTGTGCGTGTGCGTGTGTGTGTATCCCCATCCCTCCCCAAAGGGGATATATTAACAGTAAAATTTAGGACTTTGGTTGATCCCCCACTAACCAATCACCCCTGTTCTCATTCCTGCCCCCTGAGGAAGCCAATACTTAACAAAAGACCATGAGGTTTGATCTGAAGGGCACATACCTCTGAGCATCCTCCGAGACTCGGAGTCTTTGGTCATGGTCGCCAGCGAGTGAGGGAGCACACTGCCGCAGCTGTTGCTCTGTCCTAGGGGCAGGTGAGCCTGTGGGAACCAGGAGGGAATATTTTAGGCAAACTGCAGGCCAAATGGCACTGTAGAACATGGCCACATCTGTATTTCTAAAGCTTCTATCTAACTACACAGGGCAGGGAAGGTAGGTCTTTGCACTCCATTTATTGACACTAAATGGTAAATGCCAGTCACTGTCACTCCCAAGAAGCTCCACAGCAGTTTCAACATCACAGTGCTTCCTTCAACAGTAGCAATTCTAGAAGTGAAGACAGTTGGGGAAGACACTGTCCCAAATGATCTCAGAGAATGACTGAAAGTTCTTTGTGCATAAAGAGCAGAAGGCAGGTGCCGGGTTAAGAACACATGCACACCATGCAAAGGAAGGGAACGTCTACACTGGTTACAGGTGCATCAGTTTCCACCGACCCCCAGTTATCTACTAGGCTGAAAACTGGAGAAACCTACTGAAACCCTAGTGGGTTTAGCATTCTTTTCAAATAGCAAAGTCCTTCATGTGAATAAAATATATTCGAAACGCCAATTTATCAAATACATTGAAACAAAATTATTTTCATTAAGGGTAGAAAAGGGCTCAAAAATCTGTCGCACCCCAAATCCCCTTCTCATGTGCCTCTTCCATTTCTGCAATGACCTCTCAGGCGCATCAGCAGCATGTGAGGGAGGCTCAGGCATCTAACTACCTAGATCCACGGTCCAGCTCTCCTACTGACCGACTGAGGGCTCTTGCAATGTCACTCAGCTTCACTACCCTTCAGTTTATCCATTCATCCAATCGAGATAATAATTAGTACCTCTATTATACAGTGTGGCTGGTTTTAAAATGAGACAATCCGCATAAAAAGCTAAGCCCAGTGTCAGGCACGTAGAAATGACTGATAAATATTTTTTGCAGTCATTCCTGGCACCCAGAGCCTATATCCTGCCTTATTTCCAGGTCTGGGATGTAGCCGCAGGCGTCCATCATGTCAGGGAATGCCACCACCACCTGTGCTCAGTGGTAGAAAATGCTCCGGACCATGTTCTTTGACCCCAGAGCACACAATTCCCAGTGTCCTCTGAATAGGATAGAAAATGCAATTTAGTTATGACGTCTGCCTAACAAGCAAATTTAATAGTTTATTTAGCATGTTTTTCTTTGAGGCCCTCGCGGGTTGGTCCCTTTAATCATGACAAGAAGACTCAGGGAACCTGCAGCCCGTGGCTCCTCCCACGTCCTACCTTTGGGGCGGTGCTTCTCCCCATAGTAGCACTGCTGAAATGTGGGGAGATGGCAGGTGTGGTTTTCTTTCGAGGCAAAGTGTCACTCAGATAGAGGCCTTCTTTATGTTGTTTTTTCCTTTCTTCCAGACTTCTAAAGTGCTTTAAATGCAAATGTAAAAGCAAAATAGCAAAACTTGACTAACTGAAACAGGTCACTGAAGGAATGAAGAATTAATGCATTTACAAAGAAGCTTTGGAATTTTAACCCAAAATTAAAAGGAAAAATTATTCAACTTATTCTACTGTGCTTACTAACAAATATGAGCCAGCATTTGGTTAGATACTAGACACTGGAAGAATTTGTTATTGAACCTAGAAAAATTTATTTTAGATCCACTTTTCACTTCTTTAGTGCCTGCTGCGTTGGGGCCTCAGGACAACTTACAAATCATTATGATGGGGGCCATGGAGGTGGCAGAACGGCCAGTGGGCAAAGCAAGTAAGCAGTATCTCCCCTTGTCTGTCTGGACAGTTTTGTGTGATGCTACAGCTCCCAGTATGAGGAGTCAAAGAAAGAGGAGAAGGGAGAAGATGAAGAGAAAGAGCAAGTAACGGGGAAGTTGTTTGAAAGTGGCAATGACACTCCAGGCATATAAACAAACTCCACATCCACATAAAGTTGCCACATAAGGCATCTTTCTAGGTTACTTTATTGAAAAATTTCTTGGCCAAGGAACCTTTACTATAATCCTTCACATTTGAAAATCCTCTGGTTGACTATTTCATTTTTGTGACAGATTTTCTAAGGCAAGATTTTTGCCAACTGAAACTTAGTCAAGTTTTTCTTGGCCTTCCCCCAAATATGTCTTTACTAGTCAAGTGATTTCTTAATTAAAGGTTGAGTTTGATCATTTTCATACTACAGTGAGGCTTTTGTAATACATACAAATGAATGCAAATCTGAGTTATTAAAAGGAATCAACAGTCCTCTGACATGTCAATCGTGAAAAATATCTGCACTTTTAACTTTAAAATTATTTGTTTATACAGGCTAATATTTATTCAGAACTTTCTGTGTGCTTGGTGTAATGCTTTATATACATTATCTCATTAAATTCCTGTATTAATGTTGTAAGGTGGGCACTATTAATTATCCCTATATTACAGGTGAAGAATTTAGAGTGCAGGGAGGTTAAGTGAACTCACCCAAGGTCATGCTGCTAGATAGTGGCAGGGCTAGACTTCACAGCCAGGTCACCCACACTGTGATAAGAACACTTTGTAGTCTGGCTGGTTAATGCTTCTTTTAGATAGAAAAAGGACACCAGAACACTCAATCTTGCTCCCACTGTGACCAAATGTCACAAATTCTGAAATTCAAAACTTGACAATATTCTATAATGCCAGCTTAATAAAATAGGAAAGAAATCCCACTGAAAACATAGGATGTTTGGCAGAAAATAGCAGGTTTGAAAACTGCGATGGTTTTGTTGTTAGCGACGTCTTTCACCCTGACTGAAGTTACTGAAGTGTTAAACATAACATCACTTAGGTGATCCAGGTAGCAATAACCTGACCATCATGGGAAGGAATAGTCCTTCAACAAAAGGTTATAGATATTAAAGATACCTTCAAGAAACTTGAAGGCTGATTGTAAAGCAAAACACAGCTGGCCAACACTGGGGGTCTAGTGACCATGACTCTTTAGAATCTTTTTGGTCAAATTCCATAGAAATTGTATTATAGTTGAAAGGGAGTCTTGAAATAGGTTTCTTGCTTTTTTTTTTCCCTATGACCTTAGTAGTAATGTAAATTAAGTGCCTAAAAGTACAGTGACATTTGTAATAATAAACTATTTATTTAAAAATCTGGCCAATAAACAGTGGACCCAATGCACTACTTAAAGGTCAGCCTTGGACAAGCTACTTAACGACACTGTGCCTCAGTTCCCTAAAATTCAATGTGAAGGTAATTCTTATTTCACAGGAGTGTTAGAAGGATGAAAAGAGGTATCTGTAAAAACATGTTTAACAAAGTTAAACAGAGAATGTTGTCTATTACTGTGGTTTCAACAGTGCACAATAGAAACATTTTTGTGTTGACCTCATAACTTTTGGTACTGCAAATTTTATGGTAATGCTTATGAGTATGTTGAGAAATAGCTCAGATACTTTGCAGTATTTTGGTTGAATGACGTTGAATGCAGTAGTTTGGTTGAATGAGAACCGAAGCATGAGGATGCGAAACTCACTCAAACATATTGAAAGCCAGGGGAGGACAACAGAGGACTCAAAATTCTGTAATAATCCTAACACCCTTAGAACATACCAAATGTCCTTCTGAAAAAAAAAATGAAGGGGTATGCAACTTGCTTTTTAGAAAAATACCTTCGGAAAAGTAGAAGATTCCACCTGAGTAACTTTGTTGTTGAGATAAAATCCCCCAACGCTCCACACCGCTTCCTAATTACCTGTTGGTCTTGCTGCTGTGGCTGCCTTCGGTGTTTCTTAGCTGGCAGAGGAGGAGGTGTGTCATTTAAAGGGAAAGGATGGACAGATGCAGCCATGACTTCAGGCCATGGGTCTGATGTAGGTTGAGTGACAGGATGAGGAGAAAGGGTGGAAGGAAACATAAATCCAGAACAGACAGGTGATCTTTGCTTTATAGGAGAAAGAAAAGGTACACACATGTCCACATGAAATGAAAGAATAAGGCAAAGAAGTGAAACTGATAGTCTGATTGTTCTGTTTTCTTCCATTTTAATTAAGATATCACACATAGGGGCCGCATCTTTCAACTTCGCCTCTCATTAAAATCCCACACTGCAAGCAACTTGGATCACTGGAAGGTATTCTAGTTTGCTATTACTGACCCCACCTCAGAATGATTTAAAAGGCATTAACATTTAAATAGATCCATATTGCAGAACAAAATGAAAAACAGAATTAAACTGAAAAAGCGATTCAAACCAACAATTTTAGAAAGGTTTTTAATTTCTAAGAGATGTAGATTACTAAGACTTAAGAGTTTATTTCTTTAAACTTACTTTTGATGTAGGTAGTTCCACTACGTACCACAGATTTCCTGGTTTCTAGCATTTTATTTGGTAGAGCAATACTCAGCCCCCAAAATGCCAGTCCCAAACTGGTACGTTCTATAAACTCCGCATCACTCTGGCCCTCTGGCCAAACAGATACATTACATTTGTCTCACACACCCTCAAGTTCCTCATTTTCTGTTAACCGTGAGTGAATTTCTGACCTGAGGAAAAGCAGTGAATGAATGAAATGGCATGCCTACACACCTCTTTACTTTGTGGCTGGCTCGCCAGCACAGCTGTGGCAGGCTCAGTGGTAACAGCATCAGCATCAGCATCAGCAGGGAACTGAGTGGAAGGGGATAGATTCGTGGAATTGCCACATGGCTCATTAATTTCATTTACACTGAGATAGCCCTAAAAGGAGGAATTCAGAAGTTAAACACAGAGAGGAAAAGCTGAGGCATGCGAGAGTATTAATGTACCCAGTACAATGGAGTTAGCTTAGAGCGGCACAGCCAGACGTCCGTGGTATTATCAAATGTTTCATTAAAGGAGTAATCAGCAATTAAAATGGATTTATGATGCTTAATCTTGAAAAAATGGCATTCCAAACATTAACCATAATTTTTCAGGTGAAATCAAGATAACCATATATTGTAAATAACTCATCAGCTTCAATTTTTTAAAAATCCAGAATTATCAGCATTCATTCTGTTGATGATGGAGTGGCATTGTCCACGTGATGGAGTGACATGTGACACACATTTAAAATAATTGCACGCCAAGAAAATCTGAGATGTAAAATTGATAGTGCAATCACTCACTCACTCCCTAATTCAAGAGCCTTTTCCACAAATCTTCATTATTAGATCCCCCCCCTCCCCGTTCTTCTGTTTACTGGCTAAAAGCTACTAGATTTCACTCTTAAGAAATATCTCTGAAACAGGAATTTATTTGTAATGGAATCTAGTTTTTAGGCATCTCAACCATCTGATCTTTCTCTAGCAAGACCAATGCATGCGTCCTCTCTCTCTCTCTCACACACACACAGAGTCCTAAGGTACAGTTGCAACCGGAGTATGGTTTAATTCAAGCCAGTTCCTCCAACTCCCAACTCTACCCTAGGAAAGAGAATTTCTAATTACTTGTAAATTCAATAATTCAATTCTGGTTTCAGTTTAGAGAAAATACCCATAAATAAAAATATCTGAGATGCAAACATCCTAAATTTATTTTTGTGGAAAAGGCACTTGTAAATTATCAAGGCAAGTCATTATACAGGCTCATTATGATTTTCAGGACACCAGTGAAAAGGTATGAAATAACATCTCTCATTTAAAAGTGAAACTTAGTTAAACTTAACAGGTAGATTATTCTATGACCCCATCAGTCCTTTCAAAAAGTGACTATAGGAAGGGCAAGATATTGTGATGCTGCTGATGAAGCAAAATTTTCAGGCTGCAAACCAAAGTTCCTATGGATACCTTCAAATCACAACAAAGTGGAGAAATCTAGGTGTAATTGTTTGTCAATTGACTTTATGAAGTCTTGCACTTCATAAAGGGGCATAGATATTTTGTCAGATTTCCTAAGGTTAAACTAAAGAAAGCAAGTAGTGAACTAGGTTGTCACATTTCCTTTTATCTATGGTAATAAATCAGAAAGAAAATTAACCACAAAAAATTGAGCAAAAAACTATTCTTTTGCTTCAAAGCCAAGATTTGAGGCTGTATATGTCATAGACCACACAACTTAATTAACTGCTTCAAAAACATGGGCTGTTTCTCAAAAGTGGGAGTGCTTTATAGTAGTTAGGTTATAAATTAATCACTCCCCCAAGAAATAGAATCAAAAAGAAGGGAGAGAGAATGAGAGAACAGAAAAAAATAAAATGAGAAAAAACATCATGGGAGGCTTGGTGCCCGTGGCACAGTGTTACAGTTGGGCCACATGCACTGAGGCTGGTGGGTTCGAGCCCAGCCTGGGCCTGCTAAACCACAATGACAACTACAACAAAAAAATAGCCGAGCGTTGTGGCAGGTACCTGTCTCCCAGCTACTTGGGAGGCTGAGGCAAGAGAATTGCTTAAACCCAAGAGTTGGAAGTTGCTGTGAGCTGTGACACAATGGCACTCTACCCACGGCAACATAGTGAGACTCTGTCTCAAAAAACAAAAACAGAAACATGCTGGAAGAAACCCCACCCAAGTGTGCTTGGAACCTGCTTGGAACCTGAGAGACAACACACAGCCACTCAACAAGCACAAAGTCGCAGATACACAAAACAGGCCAAATGCCAGATGTACGTGGGACACCACAAAGTCCAAAGGCAAGAAAGACCAACTCCATAATGGAAAAGGAAAAAAAATTCATTCTTCTTTTAGGAGATGAAAAGAGCTTGGAGCCCATCTAATCATTTGGATGCCACAAGCTCTTCAAACCCAGCATGACCAGAGTCAAACTCTGTATCCTCCCTCTTACTATTCTTTCCTCAGTCTGCTCAGCTCAGTGAAAGGTACTCACCACCCTCCTTATTCCTCAAATTAGAATAATGGTATCTGATTCCTGGCCTCTCCGTTTATTTACTTCATCCCCACATGCAATCTACAGGGTGTCCCAAAAGTTGCCATTACGGTCACCATACAGAGGGAAACTGGCAAAATTTGACAAAACACTTGTGCAATATTCTCTACATGGTGGCCACCCCTTTGTAAAATTTCATAATGAGTCTATTTTGTAAGTAAGGGTACGTTTAGCTACAGTTTCCCTTTTTCCCTGTGGCCACTTTAGGTGCAACTTTTGGAAGACCTTGCATTAGCAAAAACTGTCAACTCTACCTCCAGAGTATATCCTAATCCAGCTCATTCCCTCTGCCTCTCTGCCATTACTCTATGAGTTAAGCCACCAGCATGTCCAGCCTACACTAGTGCAATTATGTGCAGACGAGTTTCCCTACATTTCTCTAATAGTCACCCAGCATCCCAAAGTGATCTTTCACAAATGTCTATCAAAGAATGTCATCTACCTGTTTAAAACCACTTACCCTCCCATCAAACAAAATAGACCACATTTCTTTCCCATCGCTCAGGAGACATATCTTACTGACACTATCTTAAGTCACTAGGCTCCATTTACAACCTTCCAGTTCCATGTTCTGCATAATGGAGAGAAACTATGAAACTGGATAATCTAATAAAGTGCAAGGTAGATAGAAACACTTATTCTGGTGATGAGCATTTTACTTCAAATATACATACCAAAAATATTCTCTATATTCCTCATTCCGCTGTCTTTTTATTAGCAGCTTACAAATACAAGGGTTTTTTCTTTTTTTTTTTTTGCTTATGTAACCATGAAAGTCTTAGAAACAAGGTTTTTCCTTAGTTTTTTGGGGGGGGGAAATTAAAATATAAAGAAAACTATTTTTCTCGTGAGTCAGGGTTATCATTTTCCAAAGCAAAGTTAACACAGTCTACTAGTGTTGCAGGGTAGCCCCTTAAGATCAGGGTAGTGACGGGGATGTGGGAAATGTTGGTATCTGGAAACAGTTTGTATAGTTTAATGTAAATGGGAGCTGCCAATTTAGGAAAAATTACAACAGAAGCAACAGTGGGGGGAATAGAAAGAAGAAACTAGAATATCTGCTCAAATGTTTGGGGGGCATATTCATGTTCTATCATACTCAGGAGAAAGAGAAAAGTCAGAGAGAAGGAAAGGAGATTGCAGGAAGGGGGAGAATTTAAGTCTCATCTTGGACTGGATCCTAAATTTTCTTCAAGTTAACCCACAATATGTCACTGCCCAGCAAAGTAGACAAGCACACACGAGTGCACACACACACCCACACACACATACACAGGTGCCTTAAACACAAAGATAATTCCTGAAATCCTCAAAACATCAATAATGAAAGGCAGGAAAACCATCATCAAAGCATCAAATGTTTTCATAAGTCATTTGACTTAATGTTTTTACTATTCAGTTAATCAGAGAAAACTCAGGTATATCTTCTGATTTTTAGGGCGATATGAATGGATGTATAAAATGATAGCTTACCTCTTTTAAGGTATTGGGGTTAACAGGAAACCCTTTCCCTCCAGAAAGGCTGGAGTATTTCTTTTCCAAATTACAAAGATTCTCCTTTTCCTGAAGGAACACAAAATCCATTAAGCTTCGCATCAACCTTGAGTACAACTGAAGAACACAGATATTTTGCTATAAGGACAAAAATTCAGAACCTCGCCTGCTTCATCCATTTCCAGCTCCTCTTCCTCAGGCCTAGTCAAAACTTCAAATATGCAACTAAAGATCTGACCTTCTGCTAGCTTATATGATGCATGAGTTGTTTTTAAACATCTTTAGCTATATACCTCTTCATTCCTAACAAATTTTAAAGAGTGGCATAGTGTTAAAAAAAAAAAGAGTGAGCTGCTCTGGTTGAAACCTTAAAGGAAGAGGGAGCCCTCAGAGTCCTCCTCAGCCTGTATCTTTTGTATATTTTCTGAAGTCTTTTTCTTTTTTCTTCCACAGACAGTTTCACTTTGTCACCCTGGGTGGAGTGCTGTGGTGTCATAGCTCACAGCAACCTCAAACTCTTGGACTCAAGCCATCTTCTTGCCTCAGCCTCCAGAATAGCTGGACTACAGGCTCCCACCACAATGCCTGGCTTAAAAGTCTTTCTTTAATCCTTCTAAGTAACATATAATTATGTGCCTTCTTATGATGTAATATCACAATCCAATGATCTATTTTCTTTTGGAAACTGTGCGGTGGTAGTTTTTATGTTTGGGTCTATGATCCATCTTGAATTAATTCAGTGTTAAGCAACTTTTAGGAAAAATGTTTATGGGTCACATGTTTTATTTATTGTGGTATGATTTACATGCAGTGAAACAAACAGATCTTAAGGATATAATCTTAAGAATTTTAACAAGTAGAACAATATCCCAACCAAAGGCATTTCTGTCACCCCAGGCGTTTCCTCCTGTCCCCTACCAGTCAATCTCCACACCCTGGGCGAGCACTATTCTTATTTCTATGGCCTTTCACTAGTTTTGCCTGTTCTAGAGCTTTATATGAATAGAATCATACAATACATACTCTCTACTGCCTGTCTGCCTGACTTCACATTATGATGTTACATACTTAAGTAATTCACTCTTTTTTTATTTTTTATTTTTGAGGAGTACTGCATTACATAAATACACCTGACAATCTGCTCATCCACGTCCCTGTGGATGGATATTTAGTTTGTTTCTAGATTTTTGGCTATTACCAAAGAAGCTACTTTAAATAATCTCGCGCAAGTGTTTTTATGAAGACATGATTCACGTCTACAAGTGGAGTTGCTAGGTCATAGGGTGGGTACACACTTAATACTCTATGTGACACACACACATCAACAACACATGGAAATTCTAGCTGCTTCCTGTCCTCAACATTTGAAATTTTACTTTTTGCCTTTAGTCCTTTTAGTTAACATGAGGTGCAATCACATTGCTGGTTTAGTTTACATTTCTTTTGGGATGAATGGTGAGTGTTTTTATGTGTGATTGACTGGTCCTTCATAGATCTTTTTTCTTAAAAATTTATTAATGTGTAGGTACGGAGTTGTAGTCGTTATAAACATATTGTGGATACAAGTCCTTTCTCATTTCCTTGTAGAAATCTTTTCTGCCCAAAGCCATGAAGGTTTACTTGCACTTTCCACTGGAAGTTTTCTTTTCATTTTTCTATTTAGGTCTAGGCTCTGTCTTGCATTAATCTATACATAGGGTGTGAGGATGCTGTGGTCTGTTTTTTTCCATGTTTATGCATTTGTTCCAGAACCGTGTGTTGGAAAGACTTTCCTCTACTGAATTTCTTTAGTGTCTTTGTCAAAAATTAATAGCCAGTATCTCTATGAGACTATTTCTGGACTCTGGGCTCAGTTCTGTTGATCTATATGTCTCCTATTTGCCAGCACCACACTGTCTTAAAAATTATAGTAAACCTGGAAATTAGACAGTACAAATCCTCCAATTTTGTTGTTCTTGTTTGAAGTGGTTTTGGCTGCTCTATGCACTTTAAATTTTCAAATACATACAGATGATTGCTTTATATGTAGTAGTTATGTTCTATAATACTCCCACAAACACAGCATTTGTGAATACTGAATCATGGCTCCTAAAAGAAATACAAAGTTGGATTCCTGTGAGCCTCTGGTTTTCATCAACTGATTAATACAGAACTTTATGAGGGTTTCTGTTTGAAGACACCTTATTTAACACATATCGTTGATTCATTAATATTGAACTGACAGCCAGCAGCACTGTAACTCATGCCTGAATGAAGTTTATCTAACACACCGCTTACTCCATAAGGCACATCACAGCTTTTTTTGCTTTGGGGAAACATTTTAACAGTACTTTAGCACTTTACTTGGGAGGCATGTTTAAACAGCAAAATTGCCAACATAAAGTACAAAAATATGAAAATACGGCAGTAAGAACCACCCACAAAAAGGATATATGTTTATAGTATAAGAGATGAGACAAGAAGGCAGAGTGCTGTCTCGTTCAACCTCAGCTGGGAATGCACATGCTGGACAACTCAAAAATCTCCCCCCTCTGCCTTTCTGTGAATGCACAGCCTGCCAGAGTGCCAGGAGTACTGATTCTGGGGTAAGAAATACATTTTAGTGAGTAGGCAAAATGGCAACTATGGAATTCTTGAATGAGAATCAACTGTAAATTTTCTTGTCACTGTCTACAAAAAAAAAAAAAAGTCTATTGGGATTTTAATTGGGATTAAAATGTATTTATAAATCAATTCAGGAAAATAAAAATCACAATACTTATGCACCACAATTTTTACAAGCAAATTATATTTTGTATACATATTAATGAGGAAATGTTACACTGTGACTGTGCTTGCCTCAACAGCATCTGTCATTAAATCTTCTTTTGCTAGAATTTGAAAAACCACTTAAACATTACAGACTACACTATCTAATTCAATTGTGTCTTTGAATATTACGGCAACATGGAGGCTAACGGCAGCGGGGTTTATTCCCATAGCAGGCCGGGGCAGGGACCAGAGAAACGGATCCTTTCAGAGATTTCTAGGTGCTAAAAAGGCAGGAAGAAGGAAGCTCTCAGGGATCGGGGTGGACTGCAGAGGCACCTCACGTGGACTCACAATTCCTGTTTCATCCCTCTTCTTAACTTGAAAATAGCTAAAAAGGGAATACCCATCTTTACTAAGTGGGGCCATGGTTCAGCCTCATCCTTGAATCCTGCCTTCTGGATTAGTCTTTTCTTCACACCATTCTGGGTCCAGCATGTGTTTTTGTGATCCCAAGTGTGACATTTCTAAGGCAGTGGCCTAAATGCAGGGTTTAGAGCTGAGACTAGCACCCTCAACTTCCACGTCTGGTGTCTTATTCCTGAAGTTACTCCAGGGACTATGTCAGAAAGAGGCTACGGCTTGCTTTTTACCGTCTTTGGGCAAAGGAATCCCTTTGCATGGAACTTCCTCAGATGCGGAGGCAGATGAAGACACAGTCCCCTTGGTGAGGACAACCTTGCCAATCCTCTCGCCATACCACAAAGAGTGTCTACTTACTGGATTGAGTCAAACTATCCCATACGACATTTGCTAAGGAGGCCCACCCACTGCTAACTGCAGTTCACAACGGCAGAGCAGCTGAGTCGAAATATCTGACAGTAGTACATGGTAGGAACAGAATTTCCCTTAAGACTACCCTCAATTGGTAATAAAATGTATTTTAACTATTCAATGGAAAATATAACCTTTTTTTTAAAAAAGAAGAAAATCGGGAAAAGAGCAAAACACAGATTTTCCATAGTTTGGACTTTTTCAATGTGGAAAAAGCATGAAGAGAACATTCTTGCTGTTTTCTGAATTGCATTTAATTATTCAGAGTTTTCAGGTCATTAATGTGCAGAGTTAAGTAAAAAGCTATAGAAAAGTCTTCTTCAAAATTAGAACTTCTCCAAAACGAGAGCCTATGTTTTATTGCAGCCAGTGCTGAAAAGAAAATACTTACTCTTTGTAACATCATTATTAGATTATTCTTTTCTTTCACAAAATGATCTTGTTCTCTCTGAGCCTGCTGAACAATATGATTGGCTTGCTTTTTCAATGCAGAAATTTTTTCCTGGAGGAAAAGAAATGATCATAGGAAGATATACTTTAGACATTGAAAGCTTTGCCAGTCCGTCCTGAAGAAAGGAAAAAACCCAGAATACTCATGACCACGTTTTAGTTGATGGTGGGCAATAATTATACTTAGAGACTGTGAGTCATTTTCTTTGGCCTGCCAAGCTCAGTACTTTCTTTACTTTTTTTTTTTTTTTTGCAGTTTTTGGCTGGGTCTGGGTTTGAACCCGCCACCTCCAGTATATGGGGCTGGTGCCCTACTCCTTTAAGCCACAGGCACCACCCGTGTACTTTCTTTACTTAAGGTCATATCATTCAAGTGATTTAGAAATCTGTTTGGAAGCAGCCAGAAACACAGGAAATCTTGTTTTCGACTATCAGTGAATTTTTAAAATCATCTTGGGAGATGCCTCATGAAAAAAAAAACAATGGAATTTCTTATTTAAACTGAGAGTCTGAGACGTCACCTTCTGTGTCTTTCCTTCCTTCCATTTTATCAGTTCAATACAGAGCCCTGGGATGTGGGTCTAAGTTCAGGAACAAGAGCTTCATCCCAAGCAGCACATCTCAGGGCTGGGGGTTGGGAGGAGTCAGGAGTAATCCGCAGGGCTACTTCTCATGGTAATAAGCGGTCAGTCAGTTTTGAGAACTACTGAGTAATGAAAACAGAAAACTCTAAAATAGACTTTGTTCATGGAATTATTCTAAACCTAGTTACTATGATTGCAACGGGAAGTGATTTAAAACGAATATCTGAATTCCTGATTTTGTATGTCTTGGTTTTCACATAAATGAAAAAAATGGTATTCATAAATGCATTATGTAATAATGACCACATCTCCGTTTATCTAGTTCAGAACACCACTTGCCACATATACGGCAGCTGCTGGGTTATGAATGAGATAGGTTCTATAAATTTGTTCTTAAGTTGAATTTGTACATAAGTTGGAACAGGTACATTTTTCCTAAGTGTGAGTCATATGTTTGTAACTTAGGGACTGCCTATGTACGGCAGGCTCCATCATCTGCCAAAATTGACATTCAGATCCAAAGATATATAGACCGACAGACAGACACATACCAGACCTATATGAACGATCAGTACTGTCTCCGAGAAAGATGCATATTTTGATTTTCCACATTGCCCAACACCTGGCAAAAGTACCTTTCTAGCAACAATGTTCCGCTGATACTCAGCCACTTCACGCAGGAGCTGTTGGGTCAAGTTCTCCTTCTCCTCATCCAGACGGCTCTCGTGTTCAAGCTGCTGGAACTCCAGGTCTTCAAAGTGTTTGCTTTCCACATCCAATAGGTCGGCATCCTTTGGAGAAAAGGAATGAACACAAGATGCACCAGGATGGCTACAGCCTTCTTAATGTGAAGAAACAATTATTAAAAGCCGTCAGTCTCGGAGTGGCTTTCCAGTTACAACAATAAATAGAGTGAGACTCTGATCATCCTCTCTTTGGAGTTAAACCCCAGCGCAGTGACTTGTCAGAGAGCTGAAGCGAGTGTAGTGGGGTGGGTAGAATTTTATATTACCATTAGTTTTAGACTCCTCTGTAGATGCAAGAATTCCAGCTGTAAACCACTTAAGGGTTTTCAGATGGATACTGAAGTATAAAAAGAATTCCATAAATAACCTAAACGTAATCTATAGCCCAAGGTGTGACATAGTCTCTTGAGAAAATTTTTCTTTCCCACAAGTTTTCATATGACATGAGATTTTAATACAGAAATGAAGCCATAAAAAACTAGCATCTGTACGGACTAGAGGTCTCTAGAAGGACACACGTATCCCAGATGGCACACTACACAATCCACTGGGATGTGAGGAGAAAATATTAGATCTGCTTTATACTTGATTTTAGATTTTTCTTTTCTTTGTAAGTTTCTCAATAAGTGTTTTCCCGTATATATCCAGGTAGTCTATGTATATAATTTTAAATATATATATTTGGGCATGCATGCAATGTATGAAGAACCTCTCTTTAAGATGACCCCCCAAGGAATTATAACAAACTGGTCAACATATGGAGGTGGTCAGCATAAGGAACTAGGTCTATGGTACTGCTACACACAAGTGGGGCATGTTGGGTCTATGAAATTTAGGTCAACTTAAGGAGATGGTCAGTGTAGGGGGTGGTCCACCAGGGAGGTTCTAGTATATATATTGTATTTATAGCAATATGACTTACATATAATATATAGAGGGTATGCATGCTCAAATAATTTAATTGAAGGGATAAGCAATCAAAAATAGTTGGGTATGGATTCTGAGTGATGATGATGTGTCATTGTAGGTTTAGCAATTGTAACAAAGGTATCACTCTGGTGGGGGGTGCTGATAATGGGGGGAGGAGGCTGTGCATGTGTGGGGTCAGAAAGAACATGGGGCATCTCTTTATCTTCTGCTCAACTTTGCCATGAATCTAAAACTGCTCTAAAAAATAAGATCTATTACACAAATTAGAGATTAAGTTCTTAAACCAGCCTTCTGTGAACCCATCACAATTATTTAATGTGACTTTTTACTGGAAACAGTGGAAGCCAAAATTTCATCAGGCACTAAGGGTGACTCAAAAGGTTAAGCACCACTACTCTAAGAATAATCTTGAAGACATTTAAGGAAGATCAGAAATTGTGACAATCAGATGGCCTGGAAAGGCATTCTCCACCCTAGGAGAGACTTGAAGGCAGGAATATATGCTTGCATCTGCATGCACGTTTAGATAATTCTCCAACCTACTTTTAAAAAATCACCCCCTTAATTTTGAAGCCCTTGACACCATTATATTAAAAATATCATTTATAAATAATTTATGGCCAAAAGGAAGAGGCAGTTGGGCTATGTGTCTCACAGCTCTGAAGGTGAAAATAGCCAGGGCATTTTTTAAATTGTTCAGTCAAATCATTAAAGAGACCTGGATAAATAATTATATGATAGATCATCTCTATATCACTATTTAGCCCCACTCCCATTCTGGTTTTTATATAAATGATAAAGTAAGCTTTTTGATAAAATAGAATGTATTTGTACCCTCTGCAATTAATGTTATTCTAGGGATGATTCATAGAAGAGCCATTAGCTACCATGTAATTACAACCACTGCAGCACTAAGACTATCAACTTGAAAACCATATTCACCATTTAACATTTCTTTACACATTTTGTTTGGCCAAAAAAGAATATAGTCTCAATTTTAAGTTTTTGGCTGATATTTACCAATCATTTCATGTTTATAATTTCTAAAGGAATTAAAGAATTAAAGGAACTAAAAGAGCTATGTCTGTGTCCTAAAACAATATTTGCAGGGCTTTTTTGGTGTTTTCTTTTTATTTTTAATTTCTTTCTTTCTTTCTTTCTTCCATTTTTTTTTTTTTTTTTGAGACAGAGCCTCAAGCTGTCCCCCAGGTAGAGTGCTGTGGCATCACAGCTCACTGCAACCTCCAACTCCTGGGCTCAAGAGAGTCTCTTGCCTCAGCCTCCCAAGTAGCTGGGACCACAGGTGCTCCCCACAATGCCCGGCTATTTCTTGTTTGCAGCCATCATTGTTGTTTTTGGTGGGCCCGGGCTGGATTTGAACCCGCCGCCTTAGGTGTATGTGGCTGGCACCTTAGCCACTTGAGCCACAGGTGCTAAGCCTTTTTTTATTTTTTTTTTTTTTTTTTTGAGATAGAGTGCCACTCTGTCACTTGAGCCTGAGTGTCATGGGCTCAGCTGAGCTCAAAGCAACCTCAAACTCCTGGGTTCAAGCGATCCTCCTACCTCAGCCTCTCAAGTAGCTGGGCACCCACCATGATACCTGGCTAATATTTCTATTTTTAGTAGAGACCAGGTCTCACTCGTATTCAGATTGGTCTCAAACTCCTAAGCTCAAGTGATCCTCCTGCCTTGGCCTCCTAGAGTGCTAGGATAATAGGCATGAGCCACCATACCCAGCAACTATCTGCAGTTTGGAAATTATACATCAACTATATATTTACTCACATGGGCACACACACGCTCAAGTTTTTAAGGTTTTCTCATTAAGCTTGGTTTGTGGCCAAAGATTACTGAGATATAAAATTCAGTAGACCCTTTTTGGCTTACAAATAATCTTCATTCAAAATGGGCATATGGCTCACAGTACATATACTCACTGTGCTCGTCAGCTGCTTACCTCACATCTGGTTAGTATGAAACATGTGCTATTTTAAGCCTCCATGAAAGTCAGAGAGTCACTAATTTATTTGTAGTGAATATTTAAACCATGCCATGAAAACAGCAGCACACTAGGTAGGAAAGTTAAAAATTTAGCTAAGCTCAGCACTCAAACGATGTTGATATAATCAGCTGATTGGGTTATCTAAACCATTAAATTGTGTGTATATAAACTTACACTCTGAAAGAAAAACTATTTGGGAGGAAATAAAAACTTTTCCAAGATTTTAGATAAAAATAAGAATTAAAGGATTGAATTTGGGGCCGGGAGTACTTTAATTGAGCTCTGAATGATATATACAGGAAGCCCAATCAACTTCATTATTAGTTGAACGAAAATTTTAACTACATTTCTACTAGTTGGAAAACTCTAAGTCCAGGTATGAAAGGAAATAAAGCAGCTTCACTACAGAAAATTCTATACAATTCCTCTTTTCTTTCCAATAAGACTATTGAGAATTTATATAGAACAGAAGGTTCCATGCAGTTCTTCATGTTTTCTGTCCCTCACGGAGAGACAAGACAGAAGACAGCAAACGTGGCATGGCCAGGAGAAACAGTAGCAATCACAGCTCAAAAGCAACTAGAAGCAAGTTTAAAGGGGGCTCGGGGTTTGCTACTTTACACCATTTTATGCTCTGTAGAATACGGAATACATAAAAACAGAAATCACCTAGTCCAACCTCTTCATTTTATATATGAGGATACTGTAGCCCACAGAGGTTAAATAACTTGCCTCAGAGTAATGGATAAACTAATTGTAGAGTCAGTGATAGAAAAAAGGTCTTTAGATATGGACGAAATATTTTTTTAAAATTAACAGGCCAAACTCAAACATTTACTTGAGTAAATGTCAAAAGCACAAGAAAACCATCCCGGCCAGGTATCTGTCTCCTGCACTTTAATGGTGGACTCTAATCTGGCAAATTAAAGGCAGCTTTGTTTTCCACAATGTTTGTATCCTCAGGACTGGAGAGCCTGTATCAATTGACAACCTACCACCTCCAGGCCTTTCATGAAACCAACATCAGACGAAAACTAGGGTCTGTTCTCACACTCACACAGTGATTTAATGTAAGAAGCCCAGCCGAAAGTTCATAATACCCCAAATCATTCTAGTTTCAGCTTACGTATTTGAGACAACGTGCAGTTTAAGAAAATAATCTCCTCCTATTCATTTTGTATTTTGTGTGACTTGCCACCTGATGAAGTGAGTTGCCATAAAATCAACGTCATCAAGTCTAAACATTGGAGGGAAACTTTGTAATGAAGTGGTGTTTTGGTGTCTGAATTCTAAAGGGAAATGAGTTGTGATAACACAGGGAGTTGCTAGAATGAATGGACTTCTCATGAAGTTAGGGAACTTTTTACTGATGAAGCCAAGGCACTGATGAAGAATTATAGGGCTCTTCATCCCTGGAAAATAGAATTAGCAGACTTCTTAATATCAGGTGAACAGCAGCTACCACAAGCCAGTGACCTCTCCTGAGGAAAGGGGTTTTATGATAAGAATTTTACTCTATGCTTGGACAGGAAAGGGAAGGAGTCTCTGCTTTCATTTAATAGAACAGACTGTCTGCGTCATTTCCTTTCTTCTTTTGTAGTCAAAATCCTTAGGACACATACATTTTTATGAGTTTTCTTAAAGAACTTGAGTCCACAGTTCTTAACCCACAGATCTTACCGGTTAATATAGTCTACCAATTTTTATTTGAGGCAATGTTTACAAAGAACATCAACAATGAATGGATAACTAGCAGAAGGGAAGAACAAAATACACAAGCATGCCTCCGACTGTAAATAAAGAGTTATGACGATCATGTAAAATCTTTGGCAATAAGGATAGTTAACAAAGGGGGCAAATGCAAAGATCCGTTTCCCCAGATCTTTTGTGAACTGCATAAACATAAATCACAAATCGAAATAATTTTACAAATGCTAGTTTTTTTCCCACTCATTTTTTAATCACAAAATTTTCAGAGAACTGTGACCGAAAGATGGAAAGATTCAGCTTTACCCAATGAAGTGGAAAAAAGGGATAAAATATTATTAAAACTTTCTTTGGCTCGGCGCCTATAGCTCAACCGGCTAAGG